ATTCTTAGGTGAGCCAGATAAATATTTTCTACATAAATTTTGGTGATCGCAAATTCCCTGCAGAATGAGTCAAAGGCCCTAGATTACATAATTCTTATATCCGAATTTTGTTACGCCAAACCTTTCACGGCGGTCTGTCACTACGGCATTCTTTCCCATTGCTAGGCGCGTTCTAAAAAGGATCGGGTTACAAGACGCTATTTTGGCCTGTTTTGGACTACCCGTAAAATATTTGAAAATAAACAAATAATATTTAGTGGTAAATTTCGTCAAATTAAAATCAAAATATCGTCTTAACATCCTGTAAATGTTAGCTTTTTATGTGAAATCACTGATTTTTTAAAATTTCGCTCAGAAAGACGATTATTTTCGGGTTTCCGAGCACACGTCATGTCACGTTTTTAGGCAAACATTGTTCAAACCTGGCTACGTATATTGCACCAGATCCTCGATTTTTATATTTTTCGCTGACTAGGGATAAGATAAAAATCGTGTTTTAGGGATTTTTTAATTTCTGATTTTAAGTCTAGTTTTTGTCGACATATTGGTGAAAAAATTGCATTTTTTTTACATTTTTCTCACTAAATTACCCATAATTCAAAATTGAGGCCATTTTTCAAAAATCCCTAAAACACGATTTTCGGGACAACCGTAACGGTCATTTTGAGCCGTAAATGGGGTATGCTTGACTCTCCATGTTTCCAGGTTTGAACGAGTTTTGCAGACATGTCATATCGCCAGAAAGTGTGCATTGTGTTATTCATACAGGCGTAAAGAATCATTACAGTATTCAAGGTCACCAAAGGATACGACAGTAGCTTCGCTACATGTTACATACCCACCAAAAATTATAGCGGACATGTACTGTCCAGGAAACTGTTTGTATCTATAGAAAATTGTTGTTTTTTATCTGTTGCGAAGCACCCAGGCAAAAGGGCTTCTTTTGCCGCTTTGTTGTAAATGACCGCAGGTGACCCCGAAATAGAACGCGGGTTCGATTCGAATTGCCCAAATCGAACACGATCGAACACAGTTCGGGTTCTAAGACATGTGGGAACTTTGCAGCCCAGATTTTACCACCGTGTTTATACGTTATAGAATTACGTAAACGCAGCTATATTAGAATAGTCTCGAGCTCCTCTTAATTAATATATAATGCGCACTATTGGACTACGTTACACATATGATCCTGTGTGACATAATATATAAATGTAAAATCCCCAGAAATCTTCAGGAAAATACCTTTCTAGATCGGGCAAACAGCAGAATGTAAAATGAATGTTATGATGTGAAGTTTCAAACCTACGTATACTTAACTTCAGCTAAAGCCGATCATGGTAAATATCATCATGGCTTCTTTAACTAAATCTGCACGTTATATTTGCGCTACTCGTCCAATTTGATCAAAATGATTTTGAAAAATGTTGAACAGATTTTCCCCGACCACATGGCAAAGTAAATCAGACAGCACGGCTGTTAAAGTTAGCCAACTAGCTAGGGTCCAAGTATTGAGCAGCAATCACTTCTGGCGTGCTATCGTATCAGCGTGGCACCACTTAGCCGGAATCTAGGGTCGACAACACTCGGAGATAAGCCCGCCCCCAACAGGCTCCACACACACAAACAGCCCCGGTAACCCGCAAAAATCAATGGGCATACAACAATTTATTCTTATATATACCACTTTTACAAATAGTGCAGTATAGCATAGTGTATTTCTAGGAAAATATGCAGATGTAGGTTACGACTGAAATTTTCTGGCAAGGTATTTCCGTGGGGTGTATTTTTGTTATTTTTCAGTAAGTTTATGTATAAAGTTTCTCACCTGAAGTTCTGGGGTCCTGATGTTGTTCCTCTTTGTCTCACCTGCGCCGGACGATCATACCGAACAGGTGCGAGGAGAAACCCCGATCCACACGGGGGTGCGTGTCGGTGTGTACCGCCGGTAATGCCGCCAACAATGCCCCGATAATCGCAGGGTGACAAAATAAGCTTGACTCGCGCAATCCTGGTGTCAACCGCTGTTAGCACGGCGTGGTGGACAGAGTGCCAAGCGAACACGGCAAAACAATTATTACCTGTCACCTTGTTTATCATAGCGCCACGTGACGGATAATTGAAAACGCAATAGGTGATGGATTAGGCTGACCCTTTAAGTAAAGGTGCGATAACCGGTGAAAAGGTAATCTACAGATCGCCTGCCACGCCTCGACACTTGGTACACAACAGAAAAGGAGGAAAGAGGCCACCCATTTTTTAATGGTCGTGAGTCAGAGAGCTATGAGTTCTCAATATCACAACAGCACTCAGCATTGAAGAGGAAGGCAAACAGTCGGGAATGGACGTTAAACAGGAACAATGATGTGTTGATTTACTTCTCCATTTCAATAGTCCATCAAAAGCACATCAGGGGGAGATAGGATTGAGGCAAGGGGGGGGGGTGTACTGGTAGTTGCCACAAGCATGCGCAGTGTGATGCATTGTGGGTATTGCGTCAAAGTTAAAGACCCTCTGAAACATGAAACAAATCACATCTGTACATGGTATTAAAATATTGTCTAAACAACAGGGAGAATATTTAACACAACGAGAACGCCGAAAAACGTTTCAATGTTGTCCACAGGTGGATATTTCAGAATTAAAAAGAAAGTTCAAGACACTTTTCCGTTTTACCGATCACTAGTACGCTGAAGTATGATCATCATCATCGAAGATGCTATATTTTGCCATAAAGTGGACTAGAAAAAAATCCAGCGGAAAGTATTCAACATTACTTGGGCTTAAACATTCATTTTTTTCTTTCACCGTAATTCTTGAACGTACAGCTTTCGTAGCCTGAGTACCATCCGGATTTTGCTCCGATAGAATCCGGATTTTGCTCCGCTAGAGTATTTTTTTCTGACTTTGGGGAGCAAAAATCCGGATGGTACCGAGGCTCAGCTCTTGTTCTGTGGTGGACATTGGTCATCATCACCATCTAGCGACTTTACTTTAAATTGCATCATGACGGTGTAGCATGGTAAGAGTTATACTTAGTTCAAAGGAAACAGGTGGTCTGTTACGCAGCAGGAAAATAGCTCTCTCCATCGCTGTGCAATTTGTAAAGCCTGGACGTCCGTTCTGTGACCGATGTTCGCAGGCCACTGAACACCCAATCTGACAGAGCATTAGGAAATAAAAAACTAAACTTTCAACTGCGCATGAGAAAATCGTTTCGGACACAACATTATATTTGAAAACTACAGACGGAGTATGTAATGCGCAAATACCACCTTATATGAGAAGTTCTGCCGAAGTGCTATGTACAATACTTTATGGATTTCGCGCAGGTGCAGTACGTTCTGCCGATTTGCTAGACGGGTCCAGTCGGCAAACAAGGTTGACGGAGTCAGCAGAAAATTTAGGGTAAGTCCCAATTCATTGTAGTGTTGGCAGTTAAGTCTGCTGTTTAGTCTTTTTTTCATAATGACATGTATTGTTCCAACACAGATGAACTTTCATGCTATGACAGAGCATTGTTCAGGCAAAGATGTCCTTAGTTCAGGTAAAAATACGCTGGACTCTCTGTTAGTGAGTTGGACATTTGGCGACCTAAATAGGTCCCGAGGGTTACAATCGGACACACTGGCTACTTGCTCAACAGGTTTTTTTTTTAATTACTTCTCAGGCTGATCAACGAGCCATTTATGTCTGAATGTTGTCAGAGGTAACCCCGGAAGTGGAACCGAACATTTGATGCTTAGCCCTTCGACTGCAGAATAGAAATGTTTTCACCCCAATAGTACAAAACAATAGTCTTCGAATTTCCGTTACATTGCATATAGAATCGACGAGGAGAAATATTCTGAGCGTATCCCGTTGACGGTCAGGGCAGATGACGTCTGCGAACACCCCCGACAGTTCACCCAGGCTGGGCCTCAAGCCCCGACCCCGCCTCTTCTCGGGACATCGCCCGGCTTTGGTAGCGTTTCTATCGTTAGCACTGCTGTGTGCTTACGGCTGGAAATGGAGCGTGGGTCAGCGATGGGCAGTGGAAACATACGATACATCGGCATCATCTCTAAACACTTCCAACTCAGGAGAGAAGACGCGGGGCACCACAGATAACAGACACATGGTGAGGCTGGAACCAGAGGTAAGCATTGTTCTTGCTGATTTAGCGTGTGTGTGCGTGTTTGTTTGTTTGTGTGTGAGTGCACGTGTGTCAGTGTGTGAGTGTTTGTTTGTGTGTGTGTGTGTGCATGTTTATGTGTGAGTGCACGTGTATGGGTGTACGTGTGTGTGCGTGTTTGTTTGTGAGTGCACGTGTGTGTGTGCGTGTGTGTGTGCGCGTGTTTGTGTGTTTTCAAAGTTGATGTAACATCACGTCGGTGTAAAGAATTCCCCAATACCTGTTTGACGAATGTACAGAAATTCACTATGTATAAAATTCACAAAAATCTCCTTAATTTATTAATTGCAGATCTTTGCGGAAATCCCACGTGAGACTCTACCTGATTTCAAGAACCCGTGTTGGTATGAGAAGGTCCCAGAAACAAAACTGGACTCAAATCCGTACAAAACAGGCAAATACTGCAACTCCGGCGGAAAAACGATGAAGACCCTGAATGGGCTATCCAAACACTTCCGGGACCGACTCAAACACAACGAGACAGGGTATTTTCGATTGAGGTGAGCGTTTTGACATAAACTATCTATTGAGCATCAGGAGAGCTAGCTTGTTTTATAACGTTACTTGCTGTCATGGGCTGATTAAATCCCTGCCCCGAGAGTTTGTGGCCGTTAACCTGTAAACCAGGTGACAGCTGATTGGAAATGGCAACTACCAATTGGAGCTCTGGATTCTCTGTCACCATGGAAACTAGTCATCACAGCCTCTATAACATCATGGCAACAGGTAGTTCTCAGTCTGACAATGATTGGTACATGTTGACACAAATGCACCAATCAACATGATAATCATGTAGGATGTCCAACATTCTCTTGAGTAGTTTTGAGCACACTTTGCATCTATTCTTGATTCTGTATCTGTAACGTCAGTAACGTTATCGGTATAGCCGGTATAACCACCCTTCGGCGTAACACACCAGCTTCACAGGCACGCGGCGCGGCGGCAGCCTAAGCTCCGAACGGCTTGTTACACCCAATCTTTGCACATTTAATTGCAGGAGCTGTTTAAAGCTTTCTAGTGATGATGCTTGGTGCTTGGTGTCAACTCTAGATCTACGATCACGGTTCTTGAACAACACTAGTTTTCAACACCTCAATTCTTGGTCGCAAAACTCTGATATTGGAAGGCATGACTGTTTCTTGTTCTTTTCTGGGCTGGTATCAGATACTTGATGTGCGTTTTTTTTCTTCGCACAAACAGTCCGTCCTGGCTCGGAATTATGCTCCTATGTATAGCATAACCGAAGCCTTCATTGCCAAGTCCAACCCCCGTGATTTTCGCTCCCTGCAGATGTTTGCCGTACTTCTACATCATCGGCATGCCCAAGTGTGGGACCTCTGACCTCTACTATCGGCTGACTCAGCACCCGGCTGTTGTCGGCGGGTTGAAGAAAGAGCCCCATTATTGGACCAGAAAGTGCTTTTACAACCAAATGACCGGTAGGATCTATTATGCTTACCGAAGGAAAACATATTGTTTTTGCTCAGTTTCCTCTTCCTCTTCTTCTTCTCCAAACAGTGACCTCTGACCTAAACCAATGTTGTGTCATTCATTCATTAATTTTCATTAATTTTCATTAATTTTCATTAATTTTCATTAATTTTCATTAATTTTCATTAATTTTCATTAATTTTCATTAATTTTCATTAATTTTCATTAATTTTCATTCATTCATTCATTTTCATTCATTGTGATACACCACATACACACGAAAACTCTTGCTTTACGCCCATTCAACGTTTCAACTGATGGAGCTAGTTTCTCATTTTCACCTAATCAAGAGAGCCAGAAGGTGGCAGAACATTTGGGGCCTAGAGTCTGCCAGGGATTCAAGTCTAGAACATTTAAGTTCCAAGACAACTTCAATTCAGTTCTTTACTAGCGTAACCGTTATCAACATCGCACACATACGTTTTTTTTTCAAAGGTAGCCTGTTGTTTTTGCTTCGTTTCTTCTTCTTCTTCTTTTCTTTTCTTCTTCTTCTTCTTCTCCCTCTCCAAACAGTGACCTCTGACCTGACTGAACCAGACTGTCTCTCACCATGGTAACTGGTGTTGGGTTACATAATGTTACAATTTTATAGTAGAAGGGATTTAGACTCCTGTCACCATATACTAGTATATGAATGTGTTTGAGTAAGCATACTATATGCGAAGGTAAACATTATGCATTTGCTTTGCAAATATTACTTTTCTAGTTACAAGATAATATGTTCTATCTCAGGAGTTATTCCAAGCGTCACAGTCCCTGTCCAAGACTATCTGGATCTGTTTGACGGAGCGGCGTGGAGCATCCAGTCCAGGGTCAACAAACGTCTGACATCTTCGGGGCAGGAGGTTGTCAATCATGACGTCATCACAGGTATGTGAGATCGACACGTGATCACACAGTCTGGACCAATCAGTGTCGAGTCTGTCCACGTGATACTGCGACTACAAAAATAGGAAACGACTTAGTGACGCGTTCTTGAGAAATTAATGAAAGATTATCCCTTATTTGAAGAGTCCATTATACATTTGTAGATTAATTAAACGGTATCTAAGTATCATTAATATCTCTGAAATATATAGGACAACTTTAAATTTAGTGAATTTGAACTTCGCCCAATGGTGTAACGTTAATTGAGAGCTGTTACAAATACAGTTATCAAGGTTTCAACACGTTATTCAGTTTTTGGCGACGTCTCAGGGAGGAGCCTAATGGTACTGTATTGTGTGCAGTTCGCAAGAATTCTAGGAATGGTACAGGAATTTTGTCCACAGGCATGGAATGTCCACAGGAATGTCTCCCAGCTCTGTTTTTTGTTGACATGTCCACATTCCTGGAACCCTTGGGAAAATATGCCTGCCCCGGTTGCACCAGATGCCCTTTCTGTGACCCTGGGGCTCGTTCACTATACACTCAGGGGAAGGGAGGGTACCAAGGCTTCCTCAAAATCATGTAATCATGGCAATAACCCTATAATGTATGTTTTCATTGCCAGTCTTGTTATGCTTGATCCCATCTAGCGGATGACGTGAAAATGCACTACAGTTCTAAATCCCTCCCTGAAAGTTTCTTTTTTTAATGGAATTCTGTATTCATACACTGTCAGGTGAAGCCAGCGTGTCCACCCTGTATGATAACCGGCGATGGGGACCAGAGTCGTGGGACGTCTCTACAAACGAGCCCGCCGTCCTGGTGGTGAACCTGCTGCGGGCCGTCCAGCCGCACGCCAAGTTTATCCTCACGATCAGGGACCCTGCGGAAAGGTGATGATGTAGCCTTTCAGTGGCATCCAATGTAGTTTTTAGGGCTTTGCTTTGAAAGTCAATATTCTAGTCAAGTATCTAAGCTGAAACAACACTGTTCCAATGTATATCGGCACTCATGGAGCAAAAATACCAAAACTTCTGACAAAAAACGGTTACTGAAAGGACCCTGGGAGATTTTTAGGGTAATATACCCATTGAGCCATAGGGCACTTATCATTGGGTTTGTTTCTACAATGTGGGAAAGTATGTCTCAAAATCATACAGATTGCCTTATTCAGAATATTTCCAGTTTTGCAGCCCTGAAATTGCATCCATCTAGAAATTGCATCCATCCGGAAATTGCGTTGGATTCCTTCAATACATTTTTGTAAAGCATGAGTAGCCCTGAGTGGTCAGTTAGAATTATAGAATTAACTCTGCCTCAGGACCAAAAGAATCGGTCTACGGGTTAACATCTTCAAAAGGTGATAGTCACCTGCTATAAATATGTCTGGATAAACAGACTGTGCTGATTTTCCCTGGCAGATTGTACTCGGAATATCTGTACTTCACCCAAGGTAAGAAGTCAGCGGCAAAGTTTCACGAGGACGTCATCATCGCTGTTGATGGTTTCAACGCCTGCCTCAAGAACGATTCCGTCCGCTCGTGCACTTACCAACCCAACCTTGTGAAAACGCGAAGCGTAAGCACTTTTTTCTAGGTCTTTGGTGTTATTTTAAGTCTACTCTTTAAGTGGTGTTTAAGGATATGTGATGTTAATCCTGGTCATATATCGTTAATTTATCTCCAAGCAGATTCTGTGGGACAATGGGAGTCTATATAGCCCCCTCCCCCCAAGATGGTTACACAAGGCCAATACAGACTCGCCCTGCCCCACAGTATCTGACTGGAGATTAACTTGAATTCATTGTGATTTAACAGCGACACCTTGCGGGGGCGAGTGAAATTGTCTTATTTATATAACTTTTAACGTATGATAATGAAGGTCATAGAAATAGTTTCTTTTCTTTCTGTTGTCCCTTACTTTGTCACCTATTGGCTTTTTCAAGTAAACTCTCCCCCTACATTCTACTTCCGTTACGATTATCATCCTTGTCATTATTATTTTCTTTTTTTCCCAATATCTCAGTTTTTGTTTTTATTTCTTCCTTTAGTCAAACAGATGTGAACACTTGCATTTTAATAATAATAATAGTTTATTGACAACACTCCTTGTACATGGCAGCGTATAAAACCGCTGAATTACGTACACAGGTTTAAAAACAATTAAACAATAAGGTGAGCTAAACAAACAAAAGACATTGACAAACTAGGTACGAACATAAACAAATTTTCTTAGTTATTACAACTATAGGCATTTTCTTTCAATATGAATAAATGAATTTTTATTTGCGTACCTGTCTTGCGACTTTTGTCGCCCAGCCCATATGGGCTTAAGACACCAGAACATAAACATGAACATGAACATAGGTACAGAAATCATAGAAACATAAATCTACGTCCAAATCAAATTGCATGCTCCACAAGGCTTGCAACTTTACTTTGTTTGATACACAAAACCCCCTTGATCTTCGACTTAGAATACTTAGCAATGGTCACGTGTGTTGATCTCGTTCCCAGGTGAGACTACAGCTGGGGCTGTATGAGGTGTACCTGCGGGACTGGTTCTCTGTGTTCCCCCCGGAACAGATCCTGGTTCAGCGGCTGGAAGACCACTCTAAGAACCCGCGAGTGACAATGACCAGGGTCTTCGAGTTCCTACGGCTGGGTTAGTACTTAAAGATTACATTTGTCTATTTATTTACATATACATGTAAATGTTGACTATAGTAAATGTTATACATTTTGACACATTCCAGTAAATGTTATCATATTTGGTATGGTGGCTTTGAAAAGGTGTCCTAACATGAACACCTGTTCCACTATGCCATTCATCACTCATGTACTGTATGTGGATAAATAGATAACTAAGTGCCATACGTACTAGTGCTGACCAATCTAATGAACGTGTTTTACATGGTAACGCACAACTTCTACGTGTTTCACTGAAATTTGAAATCAGTTTGGTAAATATGTCAGTTTCTGGACTGTCTTGTCTTAATATTCATATTGCAAGTTTTCATCGATGATATATCGTAATAATGGCCATAATTCATATAAGCCATTTGTTATCGAGTCTGGGTGCTTGGGTTTATTACTACCACTCTTTTTAAAACAAAATATTTTACAGGACCTGTTCAAGGCAAATCTCAGAAAGCCATCTTTACCTCGAAGAAGGGACACGCCCGGAGATCGCAGGACGTCCGACTGGGCCCGATGTTGCCGAAGACTCGGCAAATTCTGGACGAGTTTTACCGACCACACAATCGGCGACTTGCGGCGCTTTTGAACGACACGAGATTCCTCTGGCTAAAGGACGGTTCTGTTTGATAAGTGTGCTGCCATATTGGTGGAATCTATATGTACGAGTTGTATGTTCACCGTGTTCATTTGTGTGTTGTACCGTCAACCTTCTCTGTGCGGAGAGGACTGGTCACAAGTCTTAGGAAGATAAAGGTCAAGGTCAAATTTGGGCCTCCTGGTAGCTGACCTTGGTACTCCAGCAGAACTTTTTTTGTATCTTTTGTCCTGAACATGCTATGGTCTTGACTTCTTGGTGACAGATAGATATTCCTGTCAGGAATATGTGGGGTGGGTTTTGCCCCTCCCCCCCCCCAAGCAGCTTGTTTTGGAACTGCAGCGGAGTTTCTGGCGAAATCTTTTAAAGCGGATTAGTCCAGAAAGGAACAAAATGTAGATCTAACCGTTAAATGTTGAAAAAAACTCTGTATATAAAATGATAAACAGTACAACCATAGTACTCATGTATGTGGTACTGCAAATTTATTTTGACTTGTAAACGGGAAATGTTCTAATATTTGAGCATGCAAGAAAATAATGAATAAGATTGTAACGTGTAAGATATCCATACAATACGCCGTTGCTACATCGTATAGTTTTGTCTACATGCATGCTTCCCTTTTTACATTCAAGTAGTAATCAGCACTTCAAAAGTCTGCCTCAAATTATGTTAGTTAAATAATTCTCTAATAAGATTTTATAAAACATGTTTTGGTTCTACACTCAGATACAAAACAATAAAACCTTCAAGGACAGCTAACAAGTAGAATGGTAAAACTTTCCAAGCAACTTGATGTATAATGTTAACCTTCTCATATGGTCTGCTCTGTTAATTCTTACTCAAACACATTCATATATATAGTGACAGGAGTCTAAATTTATCCCTCCTGCTATAAAATTGCAACATGATGTAACCCAACCCTAGTTACCATGGTGACAGACGTCTGGTTCTGGTCATTGACCTTATTTAATTAAATAATGAAATACTGTAGAGTTTTGGTTACAGATCCCTAATGATCATCATGATGATATTGTATTTTGTATATTCTATATGTAATAATGCTACGAATATTCCAAGACAGGTAAAGTGATGTATCGATTAATAACAGTACTTATCAGTCTGTTAACATTTTTGTATACTTTCTAAAGTATTGGTTTAACACATAAATTTTTAGAATAAGTCAAACTACATCAAGCAAACTGTCTTGGATATTGAATAACATAGATTACAGCCAGGCAACAAAAACAAAACTACTGTTTACAAAAAAGGCACTGTTGTTATTCAATATCAAGAACTTTGGTTCACAAATTCATCAAAGTGACATGTATAAATCCCATGAATAAACCTACTAAATCTTAGGTCAGGTGCCTAGGAGTTCCTTCCATGTGTTAGCGTAAGCTTTCATGCTACAAACACTGTTTCACAATTCCAATGCACAGTCACAATCATGTTTCGTTACCTTTTGTTACCCTTTTCACCTTACAGGAACTGCCAACTACTACCAGAAAACTCTACTCTTTCATTTTTGTGGTATTCTTCTTGCTGTTACCACATCTTATCATCTGTCCAATTCCTTCTAATACAATAGGTAGATAAATGTTTTCTACGTGACTAAATGCTGTATATAGTTATCAGATGCATGATCACATTGTTAGTTTTGTGTCTCACTATTCCAGGACATCTAAAGAGCCTGGAGCCATGAATGGTCTAGAAACTCACATATAAGCTGACTCGGTACGGACTCCTGGTCTTTTTCTCAAAACTGTTGTTTTCCCATCGATACCACGACCAAGTCTTGACGTCACGACTTTGCCATTTTCATTTTAGGACGTTCAATTTCCCTCAGCGCCTGGAAAAAAAAGCAAATCAAACAGTTTGATCATTGAATTTTTTTACCACACAGCACAGAGGAAGCAAATGAAACAAAAAGTTATATGCAATGAAGACACTATTTTTTCTTGTGTTAATTGTACACCGACATAAAAACATTTCATGGTATTATAGGTACTTTAGGTAGCTACTGTAAGGCTAATGTTTCATTTGATACAGCTGAAATTTGCATACTTTGCATATACCCTACATCATCATTGCAAATCTAAGGTTTTGTGGTTTCCAAAACCTATAATTATAATCTAAAACATGATACATATGCTTGAAATACTAACCTGATGGTTTGAACTGGCAGATGAAGCCACGCTGCTTGTCACACTTTTCATCATCCCACTGGAAGTTCTTTTCCGCCCAGTACACAGCGCAGTCCTGAACGCCTCGTTTGTTGTTGGGTTCTCCTGGTGCCCAGGCGGTGTAGCCAGTCCCCAGTGCGGTGCCGTCTATCCACTTCCACTGCCCCTCATTCTTCTGATCATGCAAGCCGAACCAGACATCGGCATCCCCGCGCTTGATGAGAGTGAGGAGGAATCCGTTGATGCCGGCATCGCGGGGCATGGCGAGGGTGCCGCCGTCAGCCTGGCAGGTCGCAGCCGAGGCGGAGAACGTTTTCTTCGTGACGAATGCTTTGTAGCAAACGTCTCGGTACTTCTGGTAACCGTCAGGGCATGAAGCTGAAAAAAACACACACATACGGATCAGAAGATGACAACTGAGCTCACGATGTAATACAATTCCTGCCATGTAATTTTTCGGTGTATATTTCATTTATTTATTTGCATAAATAAAAATAATCAACAAATGCAAAACAAAGAAATAAAAACATTGAGCAGGAGGAGGAAAGAAGCCTGCAAGGCTTGTACAATGTCCTCCTCATTGAAACTTACCAAGTATCAATTCAATTCAATTATATTATATTCAATTAATTTATGTTACCAAATATTAATTATATGCCTGTGCCTATTTGACAAGTGTTGTCAGGTAACTGAATTTAGTAGAGTGGTAGGAAGGGAGAAGGAGTTTAAAAAATGTTTTGAATGACATGGACAACTTTATGGTGATGAATGAATGAAAGAAAGCTGGACAATAATATGTTTGTACGTTACAATGCAGGCATCATTTTTAATCTTACCTTCCAGCTTCACCGCCACTGTCACATTGCGTACCATCTCTTCATTCTTCACGGTACTCGGCACCACAGCGGCAGACAGATTGGCCATTTCGGTAGTGACATTGTACAGTACAGGCTGTTAAACAGAGGATTCTCGTTGTCAGAACGTCTTTGGGAATCTGTCTTTATTATATCATAAATTGTGGCATGTGTATGTTAATAGAAAATAGGTGAGTTTTAAATTTTTGTTCTATTATTTTAATGTCAGTTGAGGTGTTAGTAGGTACATTGATATACAATATTTCTATAAAATTTAACAATGGTGACTATACAGTTATTTTTAATAAAGAAATACTAAAATCAACTTGTACAACTTCTACGTATCCTGAAGCTATACTTTTAAAGTTTGTTTTCTCTTTGAATAGATATTCACATTGCACACGTAAACTACAAATGAATACAAATGATTTGTAGCATGGTATGTTGCATTACAATTACAAATAATGTTGTATGCAATATTTCATAGATTATGATTTTCTGATACCTGTTCAAGCTTTCCATCGACGCTTTCCGGATGGGCAGTGGTCATGTTGGTCTTGTTGGTCGGCTGGCTGGCGGACATGTTCTGGGCCATCGGTAGCACAGTTACTGTCGTGTGATGAGAAAACAATTAATTACACATTGAAACCGAGATCTTGTTATAGTATATCACAATACTCGCTTTGCAATGTAGAACTATGCTTACGGAAACTAATAAATTAACCGATCAGGAGCACAAATTTGATATTGATTATGAGGCAATAACATCAATGGCCCACCAGCAGCCATTGTTTATGGTTCATAATGACAAGTAAGTAATGACCATAATTCCCATGGCTGTTGGACCATCACCTCACATAATTCAGGTATATTCAGAAAATCGGTCGGACCTCATGTTGCCAAAGAAATATCGTTGGGTCATTCACCTTTTGGTTGGGAGGTACCACAGACAATAGAAAACAGAAAATTGTTTAGTTCCCCTCACAAATTCAGTATTCAAGCCTATGTCCTTAGTCAAAGACTTTAACAACCACTATACGGGTTTGGTTTGGTTTTCCTAGTATAATGCCCACGATCATGTAATGATCATTCTGACCTACTCATGTTTATCTAAGCGAAGTGAGGAAAGTTGTGTAAAGTGCTTTTTCTAATGGCTCAAGGTCAGTGACTTGGGAGGATTCGAACCCGGAACCTCTTGGTTCTGAGCCGGATGCTCTGCCGTTACACCATCCGACACCACTTACATGATAGTTTAAGCTGCAACACACATTTGTTCCCATTCGTTCTAAACATTCGGAACCTTACCTTTCAGCTTCTCCACTCGAGTCAGTATCTCAGCCTTCATCGTCCCATTCTCGATGGCACGCGGCGGGGCAGGGTTCGTCAGTCGGGTCAGTGCGGACGTAGTCTTGGGCAGCGGCACTTCGAATTCGTACTCTTCAAACTCCTCTTCTTCCATGTTCCCCATCACCTTTGGACAAAACTTGTGTCACAACGATTGCGAAAGTATCCATGTAACTTGGGAGCCAGACTAGTATCGGGCCGTTAGCCGTTTTCCTTCGGCAGCCAAGAGCCCTTCATCAAGAGCCCGGCAGCAGGGCCGGCCGGCCAACCCTCGGGCTCAATTCCTCCGTACGTAGCGGTAATTTAGATAGGCGAGCGAAGGGCTTTTGGCTGCCGAAGGAAAACGGCTAACGGCCCGATACTAGTGGCTCCCAGAGTAGTATCCATGGTATTCTCATATCCATCACGCCTCTCTTCCAGGTCCTGTATCGCTTCTATATAGCCGGTAAAACCTAGCCTGGAGTCCAGCTTTGTTAGCTTTAGTCCGCTCCCCAAGATCCGTATACCCCGTGAGGCGGATCTTGGGGAGCGGACTAAAGCTAACAAGGCTGGACTCCAGGCAAGGTAAAACCGCCGTTCGGTTTTAAACACCAGCTTCTCATGTACGTGGCGCGGCAGCAGCAATGTTATTACACTGAACGGCCTTTTATCTTACATTCCCCGTCGCCAGTATATTAAAAAAACATATGTTTTAATTATAGTAATAGAAAAGATCAAAGCAAAGGAAATTCAAGAAAACACGTATGTCAGACAATATAGAGACCTGAAACATATACGTGTATAAGATATATATTAAGATTATAATACATATCAATTATATATAAGATAAAACCTTTTAAGTCTAAGGTCAACAAACATCTGTCCTCACTGTCTGTATAGTAACCCAAAACATTTGAGTGGCTCCCATGAGCCTTGTTTTGTGGTAAACATGAAGTAAATAAAAAAAATAATATTCGTCAGAGTGAAATTTTGAAAAACGTTAGTGATGCTACCTTGTCCATCCAGCCAGAGATGTTGGTCAGTTTACCAGTGGTCACATCCATCTTTTCGTTTAGCTGACTGACCGATAGCTTCAGGTCCAACATTGTAAACGCTGCATCAAGAAAAGGACATGATACAGAAAAGGGAAATAACGTCGTTTAAAATTAGGTCTCTAATAGCACATCTTGTCATCTAATGTACCTCTAAGTGTATCTGAATAAAATGAAACACAGGTGGACATCAGCACTAAAATTGATCAGCACTATATTTGATATTTAGAAATATCAAAGATGAAAAAATGACAATTTAGCTCTTGAAAATTAGGAAAACTTTTATTATTAGATTAGAAATGTGTAAACCCTCTTGCAAAGACAACATTTACCACTAAAAATTCAGTTTGCTAAATGTTGAATTTACAGATGATTGGCCAAACTTGTCAAGGCCTGTACCGGTACCCATAGTGTACCTGTAGCCCAAAGGTTTGTTTGTTTATTAGCATGTAATCAAAGTAATAAAATAAACATAACATAACAAAAGATATGCAAGGGAAGATAAAAAGCCATTATGGCCTGTCTGCGATCTTTCCCAGACAACATTAATTGTATGACACATTATTACAACAGTAATTGATCAAATAGTACTAATGATATTTAACAACATATAATGATTGTCATTATTAGATAACAACAAATAATTATAAAGTAACGCTAATTAATATTAGTATACAGCTAATAAATAATATTGGTATAAAGCTCTATTTGAAATCATAAGAAGACTCACTCAGAAAGGCAACAGCGCCCAGCAGGCAGCAGTTCAGTACCAAGGACAGCACCCAGCAGGCCTTTTTGCAGCAACCGGACTTGCCGGACTTTTTCTTACCGCGCCGGGCCCCTGCCCCTGGGATGTTGCCATGTACAGTGTCATCAGTAGAGGTCTCTATGGAAAACATGCGCACGGGGCACGTCGTCATTACAATGTATATTTCGCGTAATGCACATTCAACTGTCACGCATATGCTATCCTTGGGCTCCTGCGTTTTCCCAAAGTACTCTTTACTTCATCACAGCATACGGAAGACAATTTTGACCTCAAATTCAACCTACAATATACCTGACAGTCTGTGGTTACACAATTTTCCCTTCAGCTTCTACTGTATTAAAAAAACTGAAAAAAAAACATTGCCAAGCAAGCAAGCGAACACACAGACCGACTCACAAGGAATTCTCTGAGCAGCTCACATAGAAGTCACGCCATACTACGTATACGTGATGTCATTTCCATATCAATGAAGACAATGCGACTGTCTTTGGGGGCACAACTCAGGGCGCAACTCAGGTAATGCTTGGTTTTCGACTTCGTTAGTTGACTTAAGTCATGGTTCAAGATGCTATAACTACTATTCTACGCGAGCTACTATCGGCTCGCATGTCAGCCGCTTGTCTGACCAGCGTATCCCAAAGCAACTGTTCTACGGAGAAGTCAGCAGGGGAAAGCGCAGTCGGAGGGCAAAAAAAGAGGTTCAAAGACTGCTTTAAAACATCCTTGAAGGACATGAGGATAGAAGTCAACTTTTATGGGAACTGTTAGCTCAAAATCGCTCAGCACCATACTGGTGCTGACAAAGCCGAAAAGAAAAAGATCCTCAACGCCGAAGTTGACAAGCGTGCAACCCGTAAGGCCAGGCCTACTAGCAACACACCCACTCACTGGTGCTCAACGTGTGGGCGAGGCTTCCTGGCCTGGATTGGCCTCATCAACCTACGTCAACCGAGACAGGGATGAACCAAGGACATTGGTCATCTTCGACCACGAGGGACGAACAAGACGATCACCCCGAGAGAGCATTCTTGGGATCAAAATTATAGCCCTGCATACGTTGCATAACACCCAGCGAGCTGCCTTCTTACAAAAAGGGCTGCCTTATAATATCATTACCAGCCGTTGTTTCTGTCACAGACTAGTTAAAAATCTTACATTCAAAATCATACAGGCCTGCGACGAATGTGAAATATCATTGTTACTTGGCCAAATAATGCTGAGGTCACAATTCTAACACGGGCCCGGCCGGGCAGATTTTGGGAACGAAAAGTATGATATAAAAGACACAGAGTGTTTTTTTTAATGATCATGGGAACCATTTCTGTATATTCTTTTATTTGAATTGGTAATTTTTGGTTCATACAAACAGCCCGGTCGGGAAATGTGACCTAAGCATAACCAATATTTCTTTAGCATTTACCAAGCCAAATTATCAACCAAAGGTCGTAAAATGCATTCAGTACACGTAAACACAATACTAGGTGGTCTTCTTACTGTTACATGGTTTTAGAATACAGGTGAAAGTATAAAATATCCCACCTGGCTGTCCCCTTGCGTTGGTGTCCAGGTTGACAACCTCCGCGGCCGGCGGCGCTCCTCTAGCGGCGTTACGGTCGGGGGCTCTCAGCCTGGTGCCCGGCATCTTCGACGGCGAGACCGGGCAAGGTTGCTGGTAGACGTTTTGGGACATACGAGCTTCTGGCAACCCGTCCACACCCTGCTGATTTACCCACGAATGTTCCTTCTATGTCTGCTCAGTCTTACTGGCTGTTTTCCTGGTCTCATATTAATTGTCTGGCTACGTCTCTACTCAAAGATTGGGTAAAACTCAAAAGGTTTTTTACAATCACTGTGGTTCAAACGGTGACGCGTTTCAAAGAACTGTAGATATTGGACACGTTTTTCTGATGTCAGATCAAGCAATGCGTCGCCTTTAAAAACTGTTTCAATAACATTTAAACAAAATGTCGATGTGCCCACACTACCTTTTTTGAGCTTTTGTGTAGTCTGGTTCCAAGGTAACGTTTTTTTAGACTGAAAATATACCTGTACAGGTACAGGCACATCACAATTTTTAATGTTTGTTTCGTACAAACACGTACAACTTTACGCATTACATAACCTATTTATTTATCCACGAATGTTCTTCTAGGTACATGTTCAGTCCTATCATTTGTTTCTCTGTTCTACTACACAGCTCATATTGTCTGGCTGCGTCACTGCCAAAAGATTGGGTGGAACTTCAAAGATGTTTACAACAGAGACGCAAGTTTCAAAGACCTGCAGATATTGGACACGTATGTAGTATTTTATTAAAAGTTTTTTTAAAAAACATTGAAAAAAACAATGCCTATATGTGCTCACACTACCGTTTTGAGGTTTTTGTTTACCAAGATAACGGATTTTTTTCTCAGAATGAAATAATTTGTCAATATAAACACACAAACACTGAAACATTACATTTACATGGCCAAAACAATTGCCATTTGCCAAAATGGCCCAAACAATTGCCATTTGCCAATACATGATTACTGGTTTTAGAATCATTATACTTAATATTTAACAATCAGATGTTGCACAAATGTACCATGGCATATCAGTTACCCCAAAGACAATTAAAAAAACACACCACAAAGTATGACGCAAAATACAGTTGTCCAACTTGCCACCAATTTTAATATTGACAGCACTGAAACAGTAGTAAGAGATGCTGACATCCATTAAGCAGAAAAATTACACTCTCTTTTCTTCTCTCCAAAAAACGTTATACATTTCATCTAAGTCATGAATACTCAGAAAATTTGTGAATAATATCACCAGGAAAATATTATATTTCTTGCTATCAAATGTCTATTCCAAATATCGAAAAACTATCACATTTTCTGAAGAACAATCTGTGTAAATGCTATGTGGTTTGCTAATACAACTGGATGAAAATATATTCCATACAAGCACATCTCAAAATTGTTTGTTTTATATAAACATAACTGTAGTCACATGATGTAGAATATACAAATAGCTTTTTCCCATACAACATTTATTTACATGTAAACTGTGTATGCTTTATACCAAATTTAAGGCATGGGCATGGTTTAACAGCACTTTTTTTACCATCTTTTACAAAACACTCAAAGGACAACATTTCTGTAGACCAGTACAATGGAATGTCTTTACTACTGTTTAAATTCATTTATTTTTGCAAGGACTTAATTCTGCAATAGTCGGGCAAAGCGAATTTTCGTGGTTGAATTTGTAGTACAGTAACTGTAGAAATACATTGAAGACACATGTTTGTGTTGTCATGACTACTTAGTAGTTGCCAAAACTGAAAAGTTTTCCTGCATTACGAGTACAAAAACTTCACCTTTAGATATAACTTTAATTCCTAGTATCAGTACAAGAGGGCCGAATATGATACTCATCTGACCATACATTTACATACCTATATATTCAATACATTTACTGATGACAAACTACACAATAACAAAAGAAGTTAGGCACAACATTTATCCAATGCAAATCAAAGCATGGTATTTCTGCATGTGTTTTTCTTCATTGCAGGAAGAAGTCCTTCTTATCCAAGGCAGCCTGCAAAACACTTCTTGACAGCATCCCTACAAAATACAGAGGAGACAGAGGGACTGTCAAATGCTGTAATTCATTTCTCTTTTGGGGACAATGTCATGTAACAAATCTTTGAGTTTTTGTTTTCAGCATGTTTGTTTCATTGTGTGCCCATAGTACATATAGTTATATGAAAAGAGTCACAGTATCTGGAAGGGAGCAGAGGTGTAACTTTATATTATCTTGTACCTATTTTGAGTTAATTTGTTTGCTTGTCCCTTAATACATTGCAAGTTAAATGTAAATGTAATAAATGTATGTAAATAAGAGATCGTAAAATTAATAGGATTTGGGAGCGTCCACTAGACAAACCTTCAGGTTTCTTGGGCTCTCTAGCATATATTTGCTTGTATATAATTTCATTTTATACTGTTACTTTTTTATGTGCAAACTGACAATAAACAAACAATAAACAATAAACCACAGATTGACAGGTAGGTCACATTGGAGGTTAAAATGGCCCCCAGTAGGCTAGGAAAAAGTAAATGGTATGGTGAAGAAAAGCAGAAAATCACAACAATTCTAAATACAATTTGTGCTTTATGCACATCTGAAATCTTTTATTTTTTGTGTATTGTACTTATCTTCTGCTACCATCATGATAGAATTCACAGTTCAGTCCAAGTGTTTTGTTGCAAGGTTATCCAATCATCACACTGCAGTCATAGTGAATGTAGCTACTAGCTAAAAAACTCACACTGCAGTTCTTTAAAAACATACATGTACTCTTAAGAACATACTTAAAACACCACAAAACTGCCTTTCTACTTCTCTCTTACCTGGCAAAAGGGATGTAGGACAGGGAGTACCACGTCATGGCCAGGAACTGGAGAATACAGAACAGGATGGCCAGCCCCTTGTTGTTCCACTGTCAGAGGAAACCACGCAGGGTTAGAGTCAAGACATCCAAGGTGTCATACGGCAAGTATATTGTGTATCTAATATGATAAGTAAAGTTGTTGCAATTGTTCTATCTATCATACCGAATTTCTCGCTGATTCTATGTTTTTTCATACTAGCTCCCACATATAGCAGGAAACTGAAGACAGGAAACAAAATAACCTTTCATGGGACCTTTGATCTAACTTCCTGTCAGTGTTCAGATGTGACAACCATGTCAAAATAAATATAGAAACACAGTCATGTAAACACACAGACACATCGAAAACAAAACATCAATACACATAGCAGTAATTAGATTTCACTTACCCAGAATACAGCACACAATGTCAGTGCTAGGCAAATCTGGGAAAGAACGAAACAGGAAGTTAATATCACAATTATAGTAATTTTAACACAAGGACACCAAAATGACACAAATGTGGTTTTAAAGAAGCAGTACTTTATAAGAGAAAGATCTCAAACAGCTAATAAGTAATGAATGAATTATTTAAGACATATATGGGTAGATGAATGAATAAATGAATGGACAACAGAAGTGAACTGACCAACACGACTATGGTAGCGATGATCCTGGTCTCCTTGAACATCCTCTTCAGCTGGTTAATGGGGCCCATCAGGAAACAAGTGCTGCAGAAACAGGGAATTGTCAATTGTGGGTAAGGTCAGAAGTAATGAAATACATTGTAGTCATTCGTTGAACTGTTCTCTCAACGGACAAACTCCCTTGGCATGCTTATCCCTCTAGTTGGCCGATTTCTACTCTTTCCAGCCGCCTCCCCAAGCCTGGTAGAGGCTAACTGATCTAGACAAATAATCATTTAGAATAATGCAGGTATTCCCTGTTATATACCTATTAAACACGTGGGCCTTACCTCCCGAGGGCTAGCAAGTTGCCAAATGTGTAACAGACAGCGAACACAGTCAGCCCATTTTTGGTGAACAACAGGAACGTACCCTAGAAAAGACAGTTACCAACAGTTTTTAATCATTTTAATCAATACTTTAATCCAACACCTAAGTAGCATTTTTGTTCCTTCTAGTATTTAGAGTACATGTAATTTGTAGAATTAAGACAAGTCTTGATACTAAATGCGAGGTAAGGTTTTCATATGTATTATGAACGTCAGTACCAGGGGTATTAGCTTTGTGTCCAAATGATCAGAACTATATCCAACTAAATACATGCCTCCACCCCTCAGGTGTTGCCAAAAAAGAGGCAAAGCTTCACCTAATTAGACTGGGGTTAGAATACAACAATTAGAAAAAAATTAGAGGAAAAAACTTACCAAGAAAGAAAAAACAACCCCCAAAATGAAGCAGATGGCAAAGCCTTTGATACGTGTGGACCAACTCAAGGTGGAGCCGTCTGCAATCTGCAACATGGGAGGATGGTGATTTTATTCCAGCAGTGATGACAACAGCAAAACAAACAAACAAACAAACAAACAGGATACTACTGTTAACACACATAATAACAGTAGTCCGGGGGGGGGGGTATAATTGCCGAAGGGCACTGGCCTCTAATAACAGTAAACATCTGTAGTTCCCTTTCCCAAAGGCACAACGTCATTTTATGTACTCTCCAAGCAGAGGTTTATGGTGGTGGAAGATCGTTTGCTTTTTATACATGTATATGGTCCTTTTTTTGTCTATACCACCACCAAAAAAAAACACGATCTTCCACCATCAACCTCTGCTTGGAGAGTACTAGTAATTATATGTGCAAAATCCTCAAGTATGTTGAAGAACCAACCACACTCACTATAGAAAAGGGTATGGATCCTTCTCATGGCGACTCGGTAAGCTTTTTGTATGTATATACTCAGTAGCCAGTATATAAATACAAAAGGCTAGGATCCTTCTTGGTTCATAACCCAAGACTAGTTAGAGTCCTATGGCTACACCTGGGGCAATTAAGTACTGTGCATTTCCTTTACAATGGTGTTGAATAGTACAAATATGTGCTGTTTTTAGTACTACTAAAGAGTTCTATTTGTGGTTCATTTTAGATGATCTATTTGACTGTGTCTGGTCTAGTTCACTAAAATCAGGTATATTTTGTCTCAGAAAAAAATCCCATTTCTGTTATAGACCCGTCCGTGATATTGGAGAACGGCTAGCCTTGTTGTCACACGACATTCCACAGACCAGCGCCAAGTTAATATTTGGACAGGATTTTCCAAAGAATTCGGTCAGGGAAGACCAAAAAATCCTCCTTGAAGAGCGTGGAAAGTAGTAGGCTATCCAGCACAAAAACGAGAAAATCCATTGTATTCTGTTGTCAATAACTTGAGTCACATGCAGGTGACTAAATATCATAGGGGTGGGAGGGGGGCGGACATAATTTTCTAACAGCGATATATAAGTAGAAGTAAACGTTACCTGTGTGACCAAACCCTTCTCATCATCTCCCTCCCCACTTAGCTGTTTCCTCAACTTGTCCATGGTTCCAAGAAGCGGGCTCGTTGGACTTGAATCAGACATGAACAGTATAAATTACGACTTGTCCCAGTTACGCCACATCACTTGTTGCTCTTCCGTTTTTACCGACCTGCAGTTCTGCGCGCAGGACGCTAGGTGGTGACCTCATTAGCATGAAAGATATTTTTTGGCAACGCCACTCAGATAGGATCGTTCTGTAGCATATATGGGTCACAATCTGCGTGCATTAAGATCATAATATCAAGCGTATACCCCAATAACGTTATAGCACATATAGGAAGTCAAGGCATTTCCATTAAATGTACTGTTAGTTTTACATTTTGTAATGTTCATCCAAACCTTTCAAAAACAATCTTTTGAGACAAGCTTTATAAATTATAATGCGGAGCTAAGATATTTCAAGGCTCCCAAAACAGAACAATAAAATAACCTTATTGATCATTATCTAAAGAAGGTCCTCTATGCTGCTCTGATTATGAGCATTACTAGTGTGTGAAAAAGAATGATGACAAAGGTATCAGAAGTATCATATTTATTGGAAAGACAAATACACTCGTACACATGTACAGATATATTTATATGTATACATATATGATATAATATATATAAGCTATATGCCCTGTACACAAGTTATAAAAAAAGATGATACAAGTTGCACAATCAGAATGTGTCTGAAGATTAGAATACAATGCACCTGCCATATACCTTACATGCAACCAATATCAGAGGAAAGGGGGACTCTTTGGTAGCAGTAAGAAGGAAATCTGCTTCCTCTCATGAACAAAACTGATAGGATTTTACAAGGCCATTTCTACTATACAAAGCATCTCCCTGCCACATACAAAATTCCCCACCCTTTACACTATGCCTACACTATCGCAGCTTGAGTTTCCAGACCAATTCTTTGTGGACATGACTTTGCTTGTGCAGAACTTCTAAGGCACAGACTCATTTCTTACATTTCTAAGATGCATACGTATTTGGTTTGCACTATTAGAACTGCACAGGCCTGCTGTACAGCTTGCCACTGAGGTTGAATGCTTTCTAATGGTGACATTGTCAAAGTTAAACTGTCCTTTCAACAAAGTCCATGTGCTAAATTTTAAACTGTATCTTTACCTTCTTGAAGAATATCAACCGATCCATGTATATCATATTTAATGTACAATTAAATGATGCTACATTTTATATGTCAGATAACAAAGAGGGGGTCAGTGTTTTTTTTTATAAGAAGACCTAGATTTGGTTTCAACTTTGCACATAAACTTGCAGAAAGACAATTTAACCTGATCCAATTCTTCTACCATACTTGCATGTTTACTACAGTTTTCAAAAGGCTGCATGGGAAAAGATACATTAGCAAGCCATGGCTATTCTGCATAGGAGTCGGGTGGTAATATGGTAGCCTATCTACACACCTTACAAGTCAATGCTTTCAAGTTTAACATTACCTTTGACAAGTGTACCAAGACAGGTACATTGCAAGAGCAGATCTGCAGCATTTTTATTATTATCATATATATATCACAGTCCTATCTCCTTATTATAGAATGCAAGTATGCATGAAATCTGGTTCCCTGTTGAAATATGAGGATATGAAATTGCATCTGGGGGCACATGGTCTACAAAGTGCATGATACTTTTGCCCTTTGAACTTTACTGAAACTGGCAAAGGATACAAGCTATACAGATACACTGTCTCTTGCACAGAATTATCAAACTTACTGCTACTGTACTTGCACATCATATTCTCCCTACTAGGCCAATGTATTGAGGATTTTAAAGAGAAAAATAAAACACAGAGTAAACCTCTAGCATGTAACCAGCAATTTTGCATTTCCAAATTGATACTGGATTACAAATCATCACACATGCTACAGATTACAATTACTAGTGTAATGTTTTGGAATAAATATGCTTTGAGAAAATGTCTCGGACAATACAATTCTAGTGGACATAATTTCTCCTACTCCAGCTGATGTCCTTAACACACAGAGATTGGACTTCAGAGGCTAGGCTATTGAGTCTTATAAAATATCATTATAAATGTTGACACAAGCAGTAAGTATGCAGTCAAGTTTCTTGTACTATTGATATGATGACACAGTGCCTTTGGGGCATGGTAATGAGACAGATGTCTAATAGAAATTGTGAGTGCAGGTTTGGTGTATGGACTGACATAAAGCAAGTGGAAATTTCCTAATATTTTATGGTAAGCAGGGTGTCAGACAAAGACAGGTTCATGTTTCTGGAGCACCGCCCCTGTCCCGTCCTCAGCAGTTGCTTCTGAGCTGCTCTCTTGGCTCCCTTCAGCGCCGTCTTCTGTGCTGTCGGCATCGCTGTAGGGTTCCGGCGCTGACGGGCCGCCTTCGTCGAAGAACCTGCGGAAGGTGAACTCGTAAAAGGCGTGCTCTGGGAGCATGCCGTTGGACGGGGACGTCGCATCAACCCTCTCTGGCTCCTCGGAATCCGAGCTCCGCACCCTCTCCGGGTCCACGGGGTCGAAGTTGGAAGTGTCTGTCGGGTAGCGAATGGAGGGGGCGTACGGAGCCTTGGTCTTACGCAGGCCCTTTTCCCAGGGAATGTGATTGAAAAACGGATGAGCCTTGATCTCCTGTACCCCCTTCTTGCCCAGTCTGTTTTCTGCGTCACAGCAGAACTTCAGGATGATGTCTGAGGCTGCTGGAGACAGGCGGGCCTGTCGTGGGATGGTTAGGTAATGGTCCCAGTTGATCACCTGAAAAGATAAAGTACACTATGTCAGAAAAAGTGAACTAGGACATTATGATTCAAGCACTTTCAAGAATGCTTTTAGATTTCCACAGAGGCTGATGCTAGAGTTTACTTCATGTTACTGATGCAACTTACAACCATTAATGTCAACATGGTACAGCTTCCACAAAACAAGCAAGATGATGCCTGGCTTAGGAGCGATTAGAACACCATGTTGGAAACACCTTGTAAAATTTTTCTGGTCCATCCACCTAATCTGTGTATAGATTTATTAGGACTTCAAACTTTATCTTTTTGAAATATTTCGTCTGATTCTCTTCCAACATAAGCTCACTGAAAAGCAGCCCGCAGACCAATCTGAGTTTCTCATGACGTAAGAATGGTTCAAACAAACAAACAAACCTTCATCTGTGTTTCTGCTGGTGTAGTGGCCAGGAAAGGAGGCTGTCCCACTAACATCTCATACAGGATCACCCCCACACTCCACCAGTCACATAACTGGGTGTACCCTGGAAAAGAGACATGTACAAGTTTGCATAAAGCAACTCATAGATACCTCAAAAAATCATAATCATCAAACATACTGTGTTGCAAACAATCAAAAATAGTAAACATGTAATAAATGTTAACATGATGAATGATGGACTTGTTATTGTAAATCACATTTTTGGTGGTACTTTTATACTTGCAGTTTTTGTGGGCACTTCTGTTATGCAACTTATGATTACTGTGAAGAAATAATTTGCCTACTTTCTTTTTGCTGCATCTGCCACCACGGCAAACGCATAGTTCCGCAAACATGTCCATTTTTCTCAGACCATGAACTTTTGCTATCACGAAGAAAATGTGATTTACAGTAGAAAAGTTTTTATCTGCTTACAGCTGATGTGTTATTAGGAGTTTTAAAAGTTCAGTCAGCTGCTTACCTCTTCTGAGGAGCACCTCAGGTGCGATGTAGTTAGGAGTTCCCACCAGGCTGTGAGCCTGACAGCGCTGGTGTTGACGTGCCTGTCTCCGCTCCAGGGGCTTCAGACCCTTGTAGGAACACTGACAGTTCTCCAGACTCCAGCCTTCTGGTGGCTCCATGCTGTCCTGACGGATGTGGCCATCTGTGGGAAATAAAAAAAGTGTCAAAAATGAAAAAAATGCTTAGCAACAGAAGTACTTTATCTGATCATTTTAACTTTAGAATTAGAGGACTCACTGAAAGCTTGTTGATAAGCTGCTATCTTTATTGAATGATAGAATTGTTATGGGATACCTTACATCAGGAGCACTGGGTTTTATCATACATTGGGAATATGGTAATTTTTTAAACTAAGTCATACATGTACATCATACATGCCAGAAAATCATTGCAGAGTATAACAACATGACTTTTGATTGATATATTACTGTTTTACTATTCATTTTGCAACAAGGCTTAAAAGTTGATATGACTATGCCAAATCTTAACTCTTCTTAAATTTGTATTGACAACATTTCTCCATTATATATCTACAAAGAAATGCACTGGAAGGCTATAGGAAGAGGAAATGAAACAAAAAGATAAGGACAAGTACCTTTGGGCTGGTAATACTTTGAGTCATGTGTCCAGCGGAATCCAGTACAAAGGCCAAAGTCTGTGAGTTTTATGTGTCCATCTTTGTCGATCAGGATATTGTCTGGCTTGATGTCCCTGTGAATGAAGCCCATCTTGTGGACACTCTCAATGGCACACACCAGTTCTGCTGTATAGAACTGTGCCAGACCCTGCTCAAAGATGCCTTTCTTGATGAGAAGGCTCATAAGGTCCCCTCCAGGGATGTAGTCCATTACAAAGTACAGATTCTCGTCGTCCTGGAAGGAATAGTACAACCTCACCACCCACTCATTGTCCGCTTCTGATAGAATGTCTCTCTCTGCCTTCACGTGTGCTACTTGATTGCGTTTCAAAACGTCCGACTTCCGGAGGGTCTTCATTGCGTGCAGTGTCTGAGTATCTACTTTCCTTGCTAGTGCAACCTCTCCAAATGCACCCACGCCCAGAGTCTTGATTTTCACAAACATGGACTTGTCCAACTTGGCACGTTTCAGTCTGATGTAGTTGGATTCCTTCTGACACAGCATCTTTCGCATTTGTGATTGTGCTTCTTCGGAGAGACCAACCTTGGACATTTCGTTCTCCAGTTGCACACGTCTGTGGACTCTCTGTTGGTGGGACTTCAGCACATTCTCCACATGTTGTTCCATGAAGAATTTGAATGCCTGGGGAGAGAAGTTCTTGATTTTGGACCCCCTCCTTTCTGGGTCTCGGCCCTTGAATCTCCTTCTTCTCTCAGGTTTCGGTGAGGATTGCAATTGAATGTCACTCTCGTCTCCTTCTTGGGTAGTGTCTGATCGTGGTGAAGCACGTACCTCTACTGTCTGTGGGGGTCTGTATGGGGGAGGGGGTGGGTAGTTGTCTTCACTCGGGCTTGTTGTAGATGTGAGTGAACTAGGGGTACTACTCCTGGTTTCAGGTGGGGAAGAGGACGGGGATGTTGTGTTGGCAGTGGAGGCTGTTTCTATGCTGGGTGAAATAGCCACAGTCTTTGGCTGGTTCGTCAGAGGCGGGTGAACGGGAGCATGTGCTGTCTGTAAAACAGGTTTCTGCACTTCTTTACTTTTCGCAGAGTGTAGAACAACAGGGTTTGTCATCTTTGTGGTGGAGACAGGCAGCTGAGAGGCTGCGGAGTGGGGATATGGTGGCGGTGGGGGCAAGGCTGAGGGGTTGGGAGGATAATGAACCGGAGAAGGATCAACGTTTACAGAAAGTGGCATGTTTTGATCTGCAACCTTATGGCTCTTGTAGGGGTTAGGTGATGTACCCCCTTGTCTGGAGGAGTGGGCAAGCTGTAGGTATGTCATGGCTGTGTCGTAGCTGGGTGGATCTTTACTAGTGACGGGTTGACTCGGTGTGCTCTGTCCTGAAGAAAAGTTCATCTGTGAGCTGTCGGTGTGACTGCTACTGCTGCTGAAAGGGGATAGGTGGTTCTGGTGCAGGGCAAGGGAGTTATTGTTTGCCTGGGCAGATGTTGAGTAAGATTCGCTGTTGGAACTGAAGACAGAACTATTGCTGTGGCTACTACTGACTGATCCCCTCCTCTGTGCAGTGGTCTGTGTGATAACAGGTTTACTTGACAGAAGGTCTGTTGAAGGAGACTTGTACAATGCCCCCATCGCTGCTCTACTACCTAATGCTCTGGTTAGAATGCTGACGGCTTGTTCTTTCTGAGTAATCTTATACGAGGAGAGGTGGGAGATGTCTTCACAGCTTTGTCCTCGGACAAGCTGCGACGCAGCAGGACTTTGCCGTGCGGGCTGTACAACTGTAGAGGAGGGGGGTGGAGTCATGGAGTACCTACCAGGGCCGGCACTGTTCTGTGAACTAGAAGAGCTGCCCGTCCCACCTAACGCGGCCCATGCTGGGATGGGACTAGTCCGTTGTGTGTCCTGAGCCTGTGGTGCCAACAGAGGCCCACGCCCATTTTGAGGGACGGGTGACATCCTTTTGATCATCTGCTGCACGTGACCAGGTGAATATCCCAGCTGCTGCACCGGCCTGAAGTTCCCAGGTGGCGGCGTCTGACCCCTAGGGGGAGGGGTTTGTCCGCGAGGGGGTGGGGTTTGCCCTCTCGGAGGTACACCTTGGCTTAAGGCAGATACCTCACCTTGTAAGGGACTGTCCGATCTCATGCCTGTTACAAAGGTAGGACTGGTACGAGGGGGAATGTTCACCAATGATTCCTTGGAACCCTGGAAGCTTGGATTGCGATTGACCGACTGGCCACTTCTGTTAACACCACCTGTGAGGAAGTTAAAAAAAACTACATTAAGTTCCGTTCAAACACAGTGAGCATTATGCATACCAGAATGTGACAGCAAATAAAAATGAACAAAAAAAAAACAAACAATTGCTGCAACCAGAATTAGTGATTCTGCCATACTGCAATCTCTACATTATGATGTATATATCATCAACAATGTCAACATCAATATTATCTACAGATTTTCCAATATCTCATCTAATGATTAAAAACGACATTCTAACCTTGTGTGATGACTTTTTTGGTTGTTGCTATCTGTTCTGCTCTGGTGCCGTCCTGGTATGCCATTTTCCCCATAAGCTCAAGTGCAGCCTGGATACTTTTGCTGTTGGTCAGCTTCAAAGCCCGACGCGCCATCTCCTAATGGATATAACAAAGTTGTATTAACAACAGACACACTACAGTTGGACAGTGTGTATTACAGAATATCCATGAATACAAAACACAGATAATCTTTCAGTACATGTAAATGCAATGTTTAACTTTAAGGTGTCATGAAAACAACAAAATTGGTTCCCATACTACAAACTCCAAGCTTGAATACGTGTAACTTAGTTATTACACATCTGGAGTTCAAACAGTTAATCTATTTAATGCAGGCTTTTAGCCAGGGGGTGTCCAGGGTGTCTTTTGGACGCCCTGTACTGAAAATAATAAGAAATTGGACGCCCTACTTTTTTGTAGGACACCCTAAAGACGCCCTATTTTTTCCACTCCCAACCCCTGCCATGCACACATGCCTCCCTTCAGCCTTACTATAAATACAAAAATGATGGTTTACTGAAGGAAAAAACTCAAATTTACACCTGAAAATGCAGAAAGTAGTGTTTGAGAGCATTATGAATTTCAAAAAAGCCCCCCTAAAATCTTGCACTCAGCATGTCTTCACTGTGCATAGCATACAATAAAAAAAATGGACGCCCACCAAAAAAATCCTAGCTAAAAGCCTGCCTGCCATGCACACATGCCTCCCTTCAGAATTACTATGAATACAAAAATGATGGTTTACTAAAGGAAGAAACTAAAAATCCTCAAAATTTGCATCTCAAAATGCAAAAAGTAGTGTGCCAGAGCATTATGAAATTAAAAAAAGACCCCCTAAAAAGCTTGTGCACCACGCATCTTTGCTGCGCATAGCATACAATAAAAAAAATGGACACCCAACAAAAAAATCCTAGCTAAAAGCCTGATTTAATGCCTCATTCATTTGTGTGCCAAAAAATGTGTTTGTACATACAAATGTATGTTTTATTTATTTGGTTGAGTTTAAAATACCATCATGGGAGGGAATGCTACTTGCAATGGCAAACAGGCCTTATTGCATCTTTTGTCTTGAAAATCATTATACATTTTTGAATTTGCCAATAGAGCAAAAACATACAAGGTGTGCAACAAACAACAAAATTCATTCATAATGATTCAGTACGCATCTATGCAATTGTTGAGGCAGTACTCTTGTGCCTTAAACTTTTTTTGAAAGTTTTAAGACTTTTTAAAGGGACTAATGATAAATTTTTGATGAATAATTATGTAATGCCACTGTTACTGTGAGTTATACATGTATACATGGAGCAATATGCAATTTTTGATAACCAGTAAAACAAGTGTGCCAATAACACTGCATTCCTTTTTGTTCTAATTCAATATAACGTGATTGGGAACGGATTTTCTGCGCGTGCAAAATTTGTGCGCGCGTGTAAAATTTGAGCGTGCAAATTCAAAGTCCCTGAAATATGTCAGAAAATATGCAGTACCAAAGTAGTAAAATGTGATTTTGTGGTATAATTTTCCATCTGTAACTCAGAATTCCCTTGGGAATAGGTTAATTTTCATATTTTTCATGAAATCTTAACATCTGAAAATAACTTGAATTTGTGAGAAATACATGGAAATGTTACTAGCATAAGGTTTAGGATGGTAAAATGTAACAATCTGAAGCTTTTCTCCATTCTAAAAGCTTGCTTTCATATTTTAGCAAACAAATTCTTTCAGGTGCAAATTTCAACCTTTTTTGTGCGTGAAAACTTAACTTTTGAAAATCACTTAAAATCACTGAAATGTTGACAAAATGTAGTCTATGTAGTCTAGAATGCAACAAAATGATATTCAACGACAATTCTGTTTTATGTCTTTTTTCCAACTATTAAGCTTAAAACAGCAAAAAGTTTTTAAGTCTCTTGGGAATTGGCTAATTTGCATATTTTCATGCACAGATTTTCCCATGCGCAAATTTTTCACGCGCACAAAACCCCATCCCAAGTGATTGACATTACTTTTATTATTCTCTTGACAGCCTACATTACTGTTGAAGAATATTCATGACATATCTTATTGTTAATTCGTGTATATGTATTGCTTGAATAGTGGTCCAAAAACTGAACATGTCACGGTAACAACCATATACAAAGAAAAATCAAACAGATAATAGCGTTTTTTTATGTGACTCGTGAATGAATTCAAGTGATATCATATACGCAACTTGATTTAAAGGGTCACGTGTCAACATAATTATAACAAAAGCAAACAAATATGAAAAACAAAGGAATCATGACTGACAGTTGATCACGGACAACAAAGATATATCAATCCTGTCTACGTACCTCGTCAATCCCTGCTTCTTGCACGAGTTGTTGAAGCATTTGTTTGTTGACACCGTCACCTGCAGCTGAGGCCCGCCCCCCTCCCACCCCTCCAGCACCAGACCCCATCTCGAACGGCAGAAGTGACGCCGCTATCTTCTGTAGTTTCTCCTGGTGTTGTGCTCCGAACCTGGCGCCCCGGGAGGACCCTTGCTGTTGTTGTGCATCCTGTGCAGGTCCCGTAGCTTTGTACGGCTCGTTCCGGGAAGACGAGGCGTCGTTCTGGTTCTGCCTCTGCAGATTCCGTAGACTCTCCCTGATCTCCTGCATCATCTGTCGACTGTTCCCCTGATACGCCGTACTACCGGAAGGAAAAGTTTTCGGGCGCATTTTCCTATCCACCTCTTTCCGCTTCATGTGGCAAACAGAAAAATCCAACTACCCAGACATAGATTTGGACATGGAATGAAAGAAAGGTTCGTCGTTTTAGCGCATTTTGTCACGGCTATGCTGTTCTCTGGGTCCGCATCTTCTGACGGGCTACGCGGGGTTGAATACTCTGCGGGTTTGGAATGCTTGGTCGATAACGCAAGGTTAAAGCCCTGGAATGGTGGATAAATCCGTCCCCTTACAAGTCCTATATGAAACTTTCCTTCCTACACAACTACAGAAACGTACCCGTGTCAGTCAGCACCGCAATCTTGGGTAAAAGTTGCAAACTGTGCGACTACTTCACGACAGACCTTAGCGATGGAACCCGAGGCAAGATGGACGCGGACGTCAACCCTCCCCGCATGCCGGGCCCGAATTCAACATCGTCCCGTCGCCTAACAGTCCTCACACCGCCTGCTTAGTCAATTCCGTCATCATCCTCACCCTTTTCTTCAAGTAATCTGTGCTGAAGTTACTCAGGAGAAGGAATATTGGGTCTGAAAAGTTGTCAGTTTTGGTAGTGTCGTATTTTGTCGTCCGACATTCCCCAGTCTTCCTTTGAACCCATGCAGGTACAAAGCATGCTGGGAAATTCCATCTTTGGGAGAATTCAAACTTTGAACAGACAATAGCCCAGTTTGCTGTCAATCATGCTCCAAATATCTACCCTTTAAATCTTTCCTGATAAAGTGAGCAGAAACTAGGTTATCTTCTCATCTCGATGGAAGTATGTGGTAAAATCTAAGCTGATTAAAAAGAGGCAGTCTTGAAAGAGCTCAAATTCCTTCTTTATAATCGATGTGAAAACAATTGATTTGGAATATCCCAATGAGAGGAGGGGGTGGTAAAGTTGTGCTAGACCAAGATTTGCACAGACATGACAGACCAAACAAGTTTTCAGCTAAACATAGTGTCAACCGTTATTATATATTATAGAAATCTGACCTTTATAAGAATAATTTTCTTCCTAGCGCTTCTAGTACTCAGTACATCCGTCAAACTTCCTGGGGTCACTTGATCTCTTTTGTACTTTAGAGAAAAACTGGTAGGTGGCGCTCTTAACCAACATTTTCTGACACCTGCTTCAGGTAATCTCAAAGCAGATCCCTATCGGTGGCAAAAAAGACAGTATCAAATTGGCCAGGCAGTATCCATTAGCCAGAGAAGCTCCAATAGCCACCGACGGGATCAGAACAAAAAAAACGGCCATATATAAAAAGGTAACGATAATTCCCCACAACCTCTGCTTGGAGAGTAGCTTCAGGATCTGCTTGGAGCCAATGCAATGACACAACACCTTTCAAGTATAATGGAGGAGATAGATGTCTTTATTGGATAAATTGATAATAATTGATTATAATCATAGCCAGCTAGAATTTTTTGATGGCAGATGGAAGGCACATAATATGGTAAATAATGGAATATTGTACTACCATAAACTTTGTGCTCACTTTAATAGAAAGATACCATCAACCTTTTAACTCCATGATGATACGATCGATTACGAAGGAATTATTTCTGACCATTACAAAATACAGTATTTCACTGGTTAAGATAGATGGAGACACAGATGCTGTATACATGTACAGTATCTACAGTTTCATTGTATTTCAAGTACAATCAAGGAGGACAATGAACAGTGGACCATGGCTTAATGTCCCGTCCTATTAGGACTGTGACCCTTTCCAATAGCTGAGTGACAAAGCTTGAATTACATAATTCATGACTTCTTGGTCCAGAGGCAGGGTCACTAACCACTGGAATACCCACACTACTTTAGAGTATTAAAGTTACAGTTTTGGCTTAAACGCATCAAATGAGCCCCCCCTCCCGACCCCCTCTGTGAAACGTGTAGCCCCTTTCACGGACTCCTTTGCGACCACACCCTTCCCATTGTTGTACTCAAACTTCATCGACTCTACAAAAGATGGAGAATCAAACATCCCATAATATGCGGAACGCCTATCAGCCCTCATACACTCTTGTGGAAATGCTGCAATTTGATTGGCTAATGCCATAGCTGCTTCCAGTGCCATTCCCTTTCGCACAACCCTATTGGCTAATCCGAACTCCAGAGCCTCTTGAGCACCAATAGGACGGCCTGTGAGAATGAGATCCAGGGCTCTTGATAGGCCGATGAGCTGGGGTAGTCGGACAGTGCCTCCGTCGATAAGAGGAACGCCAAAGCGACGACAGAAGACCCCCATGATGGCGTCCTCCTCCATCACTCTCATGTCAGCCAACAGGGTTAGCTCCATACCACCTATAGAAAAATAGAAATAGTTGCACAACTCTTATTTTACCTGCACCTGCATTTATGCTAGGGGTATATTTTGAGCCTACAATGTACACATACAAATGTACAATAGAAAGGTAACATTTGGAAAGCAAATGCATAATTTTTACCTTTGCACATGGTCTGCTCTGTTAATTCTTTCTTAAACACATTCATATATATGGTCAGACAAGAGTCTAAATCTCTCCTGCTATAAATATTGCAACATGATGTAACCCAACACTAGTTACCATTAGTGATGCATACCTAAACCCAATTTCAGGTTCAGGTCCGGATTCAAGTCCAGAGGTTTAGGTTCAGGTCCGGACTTAAGTCCGGACCTAAACCCATGGCATATACAAAATTGCATGTTGGCAACCTTGCAATGTTGCCTGGGTGAAACTTTGGCCACATAACATGGAGGCTGGTACTTGACGATGCCCGATGGCAATGTTTTCTTCATTTTGCAGCAAAGATCTTGGAATCTATGGAAGGATTTAGGTGGTTTAAAAAGAAAAGGGGTATGTGAAATGGTCTTTTATGGTAATAAGTCCGGACTCGGTTCTTGACTTTTAGGTTTTTTTGGACTTGAACCTAAACATTTTTACAAGTCCAGATCCAAGTCCAGTGAACCGGTATGCACCACTAGTTACCATGGTAACAGACAGACTGCTTGAGGTCACTGTTTGGAGAAGAAGAGGAAGAAGAAAAAGGAGAAGAAGAAGAAGTAGAAGTAGAAGTAGAAGAGGAAACGTAGCAAAAACAATATGTTTTCCTTCGGTGAAGACAATCAAGTACTGGTATACTAGTACTGTCTCTTACCTGCTACAGCATAACCATCCACAGCTGCAATGACAGGCTTGCTCAGCCTCATACGTGAGGGGCCCATGGGACCAACATCTGTCTCTCCAAAGGGCATTTCTGAAGTCAAAACAGAACAGCATTTGTGAACTGTTTGCAGAAAATATGCAGAAAAACATTTTATTTTTAATCATCCCACCATGCAGATACCCTTAGACTGACATATGGTACATTAAGAAATATCGTACATTTAAAGAGAAAAAGCATGTTTTACCATCAATTCCACTTGCTGCAGATGCTACTTCTTTTAGATCAAGGCCCGCACAGAAGGTACCACCTGGAAAACAATACCGTACATTCAAAAAATTCAAAAAACTTTTTTTGTTGCATGATTTACCTTCAATTTCACTTGCTGCTGATGCTACTTCTGTAAGATCATAACCTGCACAGAAGGTACCACCTGGAAAACAATACATTTACACATATATTCAAGAAATTGAAAAACTTTTTTTTTGAGTGGGACAACTTTGCTATACTGAACTATCTACCTAAAAATTGAAAAATGTACAACTTCTGCAGGCAGTGCATTAACGTGTGAGAATAAAAATGACACTGAACAATTGTCACATCATAACCTTTGACTGCCTTTATAGTAGTTGGTTGCAATAGGAGAAATATGACAGTCGAAGCCCACCTTTTCCATAGAAAACGGCAGCCAATGATGACTCGTCATTTTCAAAAGTTTGGAAGGCCTTGAAGAGCTGCAGGGCAGTCTGGTTGTTGACACAGTTACGGACATGAGGCCTGTTGATCCCGATGAGAAAAATGCTGTCTCTCTTCTCCGTCTCCACAAGACCTGGTTCTGTCTTGCTTGAGACATCCTGGAAGGTATGAAGTAAAAAATTTGCAGAAAATTGAATGTGATGAGATCATATGGAGGTATTATTCTCAAATATTACCTCCATGATTAGACAAAGCATATTTGAAGGACTTCAATAGGACATTTAAAAAATCTGTGAGTCCCAAAAGCACTCAGACATAATACATCAAATTCGAACAACTTACAGACATTTTCCTTGTGCTCATCACCAAAACAGGTTTCCCAACCCTGGAAAAGTTCCTCCAAGTCCTGTACAGGGACTACAGAGACACATGTCAGCATGATTAACTGTTAGGGATACATCCTCCATCCAGCTAAACAGGCCACTCTGGGAATGTTATGCCTGTGATAGACTTTAATTTGCACGTTGGGAGCTAACTGAGTAGGGCAGGGAACAGCTTCTGTAGCTCCGAAGAGAACCCGCCCTAACCACGATGGACTGGACACCAGGCTAGGCTTCTTGCTCTGCAATTCTATCGCTTTCTGCCAGGGGGTGTAACTACATGCAGAAACGTTTTTGCTCCAACATCCCCTGACCAGACTGGACTGTGTTTTCTGCCTTGACTGGACCGCTATTTCCACAAACCCTAGCCTGCTATAATAGTATACTATTATACACACAAAGGATGATTCAATCATAACGGACAGGCAACTGTATTCAACTGTAAAATCTTCAAGCATGATTCTGTGGGGCAAGGGGAGTCTATATAGCCGCAACCTGTTATTAAATCCAATGGGCTCCTGCAAGTGCAACTGCTTGCCAATGGGTCTTCTCGAATTTCACCTTGACTTTCAACTTGAGGGCAGTAAAGAGATATTACTAGAAACTGAGTCAGACATTACTCTACATTGTCCTATGACAAGTTACCCTTGTAAGCAGGTAAGCTTAGCCGAGACTTTACCATGATTGGCTTCCTCAGGACTCCGGACTTTCCTCCAGTCAAGAAGTACAATCTGACTGTGTTTTGATTCTGTGTGGGTGTAATGGGTCTGAACGTAAGAAAATAGTGCCAGCTAACAATCTGCCAAGAACGTTGACATGAAACATTTATTTAAGCTGAAGAAACACAACGGCATGCTGTGAATTTTAGATTTGATAAAAACATGTGTACTCTTACCTTACATAAATGCGGGACTTTGTTGGACTTCTGACCGAGGGTCCCTGACCGAGAGGTGAAGGGTTAGAGACTACTCACCCCGCGGCGGGATACTTCTAAAGTCCAACATGGCGGCGTACAGTAAAAGTTTGAAACCGAGTTCAGTTTTGAAAGCGAACTGCTACGAAATAGGCCACACTTGGCAACCCTCGTGCATAAGGGCTATCTTAGACATACTGCTGGGGGGTATAGTGGAGTCTGTCAAAATCTACGCGCCAGTTTACGTGGTGAGTACCTTCAATATATTGGTGTACGGCGACTGGACTATAGCGCTGGGAGGGGGCGTTACCATAGAATTTGGGGGTTGAAGGGCCAAATAAGGCTTTATACATAGCCACCAAGACTCAAGAACGAAGTGTCACTTTTAACACACACTAGAACTAGCCTCGTAAACCATTTTCCACGGACTAGCTTAGGTGGTGTTTTACCTGCACCAGTTCTTACACTATACATAAAGTATTCTGTTATCCTTTCTTTCTAATTATGACTAAACTGACCTTTGGGAGCAAAGTACACACGTAGTTGAAATCAACCTCGTATAAAAAAAGTAGCAGGCATGTACACTACAAATGGGCCTGGCTGGCTTGCCAAAAAGGGGCCTGCATTATGCTGTTTTTCGTAAGGTGTAATCAGGCCTTTTTAGTATTGAAATGGTGAACATTTAACATTAGCACGTGTGTGTATGTTATTTTATCAGCAATAAAATCATAACCCTCCCCAACACCAGATCACAGGTCTAGCCAGGAGGAGGAGTAAACGGTACTGGCTGCACAAGTTTGTTCCTGAACTCCTACAGTCTGCCGTGTTCCTGGGGAGCAATGCTGGGGCCTTCATCGGGAGTTTTTGTCTCCTCAAGTAAGATACAAGGCACTCTGTTCTTTTTGACAAATTAGCAGCCTATATACCAGGCTCCGGGAAGCGGCTGGGAGGAGTAGAAATTGGCCAAATACTGAAATAGACAGAGCCTCACAGAGGACATAGTCCCTGCTATTCTCTTATATAGCCCGGTCAACTCCCCTAGCAATATCTGTCTATTTGGCCAACTTTTACTCTTTCTAGCTGCTTCCAAAAGCCTGGTAGAGGCTAAGATACTAGGAGCAGTAGGGTTTACCTGCTGCTACTAATGCTAGTATATATGTATGTACCTGTGTCACCTATAAAATTATTCAGGTACAGGTGTGGTATACTTACCAATGTACCTGTACCTCAGATTCAGAACAAAATAAAATGTCTAATACTAAGTAACAGAAGAAGGGTGTATTTTTGTCACTGATAAATACATGGATCTAATAAATATATAGAATGATTCTATCATCTTGGCAAATGACTTGCCTGCCTACTAGTACATTGTACTTGTTAATAAATTATTGAATCAATCATTGTTGAGCAATCTTTTTTAGTCACTGTCCATAGTATAAGCTTACACTTGTTGTCTCCAGTATTTGGTACTGCAGACTGTGCAATACATATCTGACAAGTTTTCCATTCAGAAGTTGATTGTTATTAGTAGAAGTAACCGTTACGGTAGTACTAGTAGGTCAACTAGTTTCCCTTTGTCTCGCTCACCAAAATTACTTTCCAGTCTATGTTGCTTTAGATCTTCCTCACATCTATTTCTGCTTTGTTGATGAGCAGCCAACTGTTTGAGCGCTTCTCCTACTGTACTGGCCTGGCCAGTGGTGCTATGGCTTCCCAGCTTGCCATTCTTTTGGAGAGAAAGCCCAGGTTGGTAACACACAATTTGTTTTTATCAAAATATTGTAAACTTGTGTTTTTCCCTCCCCCTTATCTGCTGCGCAGCAAACTGACAGGGAATTGCTACTGGCACAATGGTGTTGTTTCTGGCACAGCAGGCTCCTTGCTGGCCATTTCTATAGAGAGAAGTGACAGGTATGTGTATGTGGAGGATGTAGTGAGATTATTCACAGTCACACAGTTGTCAGTTTTCACAGCACGTCATCTGCAGTTACTGCAGATATGGAGTTGAATTTAATGTTGCATTTCCCACCCTATGCTATGGTAATATTGTTTCTCACAAAGTTCTACTAACAATTAACAATATAAACCTATCTATCATGGGTGTGCTGTTTACTGTTTCTATCATATCTGTCTCACAGTAATCTCTAATGGCTACAATATTTTTTTTAACCAATTATAAAACCCGTTAACTAACTATATATGCAAGTCTAATAAGTTAATGTGTTGAAAATAACCATAAAGTTAGTCACCTGTACATAGAATTTCTACTGACTATCTTTTAAATTTCTATTAATATTATTATATGCGTGTACTGTGCTGTTCACTGTTTCTACTGTAATAATTCTGTTGTACAACGCTCAGTAATGACTAATTCAACCTGTGATTTACCTGCAACTAGTCCAGCTTAGCTAACCCTGCTGTACATGTACAATGAACAGCATTGTTTGTGACCAAAGCTGTACATGTTTAAAGTATTGCTCCCATTACTCCTAGACCTTAAACACACACAGCAATCATTGCTGAGAAAACCCCTCTCATAGTGCCTTCTTACAATGGAGCTTTTACATCATTGTGTTTTTGTGTTTTGCAGAAGGGGAATGCTAGCAGTGTACATGTTTAATGTGGTAGGTACATTTATTGCTATCTTTGACAATCATACAAGTCATGTAATAATAGAAAAGTTGACAACTTTTACGTGTTGGAACAAATTTTTATAACAGTGTTGTCATTGGTATGTTGTTCCTAATGTGCCATATGCAATTGTTTACCCACAGGCATTGGAAACCCTGAGTAATATGGCAATCTCTCGTGGTCTCATAACACCACGCAAACATATTGAGGTAAGAACACTTGCTTATAAGTGAACTTTAGATATACATAGCCAAAAAAATCAATTAAATGAAAAAGAAAATGTTGTTAGTATTTACAGCTGGCATCTTCTGTTTTTTTTCAGGTTTTACTTTTCAGTATAACTGCTGCTGGATATGCCTATCTATTTAGGTCAGTGTTCTTTGAATTAGTAACATTTAGACCAATCAAATACAATGTATACAATATCGTATATTTGAAAAAAAGATCTAGCGACCAAGGAGTTTAAACCTTCAAAACCTTTAAAACTTTAAATCACTAAGTCATTCAATTAGAACAAGATTCTTTATTACGTCTATAAACTTCAAGATTGTTTAAGCAGCAGTGCCCCCTGTTGAAGCTATCAGTAACTGCAGTTACTATAACATGTCAATGTACCAATCCATTGTAAGTCTCAGTTCAATTTAACTGCAGTTTATGAAACAGAGAAAAGAGGGCCTCACTGAGCTTTGCAAGGACCTTACAGATTTAAATCCATTTGCAAGTTTTCCTGATTGTTTATATCCTTGTTTCTACAGATGTTTTGGTGGGCTTAGCGGTGTTTTCTTACAAGGCGTCAGGTTTGTAATTCTCTTAAATCTTATCTAATTTAAGGATTCAAAATGCTGTTACCTACAAAATCATGACACCACATGAAAAGTAGACGTCTCCAATGTTTTAATATCATAGTACAGAATTGTCTCAAGCAGGACTTAAAACACAACTTCATTTTTTCTTCTAAATAGATGAAAATAAATACTCTAGCTGAATTTACAGTATATTCTGACAATGTCAGACAACTTGTGTATATGGACATCATGATAGACTGGAAACATGTTGTCATTAGGTTCCTGCTGGGTACTGAGGAGGCAGGCAAACCAGGTGATGCCAGGAGCCTGGAGAGTGAGGCTAACAGACCTGCAGTACAGTCTGCACAACACAGTGCCTGGAAACAAAACCTCTCAGTTTCAAGGTTCTCATACTTTTTGTTTTGTTTTTTTGTAGGTTTTGTGAACTGTTCAACCGTATTTATGATAAGTAATATTGTCCTATCACAAAAATTCATCTGTGCTGGTAATGACATGTTTTAAGTTAAAACTTAAAGTTCCAACAGAAAGGATTGTTTTTACCTAGATCTTTTGACCAGTCACCCTGATCTTGGAGTGTTGGACCTTCTTCTATTGCAGAAGATGGTCAAAATCTCTAGTTGAGAACAATTGTTTATGTTGGAACAAAAGTTTAAACTTTAAACATTCATGTTATATTATACTAGTCTTTTCTAGACAACCTGTTACAATAAAATTAAAAAAAATATACACCACTTCTTACACTAAATTAAAGATAGCTTAACTGTATTGTTGACATTTTTAGATGACATTTTCATGTAATTGTATTTCCCTGAAGGATAATGAGACTGTTAAAAGCTGCACTGGTCCAGAGACATGCCCTGTGTATGCACAAACACAGCTGTGCCATGTACTGTCTAAAGGTTAGTATAACTGTTTACTCACACAGTCGGTCAACTTTTAAGTCAGTGATGATGAATTTTACTTCTTCAGTTAAGATGACTGTGTTTCAGGGAAGCATACTTAAAACCTCAACATTTTGACACAGGGTAAACTGCAGCCATAATGAACTATTGTTATTCTAAACATCATTATCGAAATACAGGCCTCCGAAATAGTATGTTTAAGTCAGTACAAACATTGTTTTAACCTTAGTGTCACCTGAAAAGCAAGTTGCAATACTTGATTTTATGAACAGGTAAAACAATAAAGAGAAAATACATGTTTAGAAGCTTTAAAATTAAAAAGTTCAAAGTAAGCTAAATAATTTCAGATTCAAGTTCTGCAGTAAGTTCTACTTAATCTTATGTTTTGCACCTCAAAATTGTTCTCTGCTCCTGAATTTTTAATTAAGGTGCACCACTACTATTCTTAGACAAATGGATTTTTCTCATTCGTCCTAATATTTTAGAGATACACAGTATTTGGGGTCATATAGTTGAGATTATCCTTTGTCAGAAAAGAAAAGTTCTTCTTTTCATGCTGATGTCTTATCTTGGTCGTCTGCATGTCTCTGTAGGGGTTTGGCAGGATGTTTGGTATTGGCTATGCTGCCCAGGCTGTCCTCAGAGTACTGTCATCACTCCAAACCATCATCAAGTCACCCAGCCGCCTACTGTCCTGTATCTTCAACAAGAACAACATCAACCTTGGTGCCTTCTTAGGTGGTTTTGTTGGTATCTTCAAGGTAAGAGCTTTTACTTACATATACAGAGGTGTAAGTTTGTATGTACTTTTTAGAACAAAATTGCAGAAAGCTAAGAGAGAAATGGTGTAACTGTAGACTGACAGCAAGGTCCAATTGGAGGTCAAATTGGTCTTCCTGCAAGGTGGGAGGAAGTGAGGTAGAATTAGAGGTCAAAATGGTCTCCCAGCAGACTGAGAGGAAGTGACAGTGGTATAATACATGCAGATTCAGTAACAAATTCAACGCAAGGAATACAACTGTTACAACAACTCTAAATACTTCGCAGAGGTGTGAAATCTTAAGTTCCCTCAGTGGGGTCGTGTGGCGTAACGGCAGAACATTTAGCTCAGAACCAAGAGGTGCCGAGTTCGAATCCTGCCAAGTCACACCAACCTTACATGTAGCTTGTGCCCTCGGGAAAGGAACTTTACATGACTTTCCTCACTTTGCTCAGGTGAAAATAAGTATGCAAGAATGATCATTATCATGATCATTATCATGAACCAATCTTTGTTCTTACATCATAACTGTAAATGTTGTTTCCCCACAGTTTGTCAGCTGTTTCCTACGCTGGCTCAGGGATCAAGATTCAGACCTTCATGCACTACCTGCAGGTATGGGGAGTTATGTGTACTAGTATAAAGGTGTGAATAAGATGTGTGAAATGATTACCTTGGTTAGATAGATGTATTTTGAGTTTTGAATTGTTACCTACGTGCATGTACTTTTGAAAGTTTGCTGTACATTGCAAGGTACTAGTACACTAATCTTAAAACAGGAGCTGTTTGCACAAAACAATTATGGACCCTGTAATAAATGTTGCTTTCTTTTGCTGACAGGTTTCCTTGCAGGACTATGTATGTTCTTCTACCCAAGTTGGACCATTGCTCTGTACCTCACCCTGAAACTTGGAGAGGTAAGGCCAATGCACATTGAACACACAGAACAATTTATGCCACTGTTTTTGTAAATGCTTCCATGCATCTATGCCAAGACATCTTTATTCATTATTCCAATTGTACCAATCACTAACATTGTCAATAAGATATGTAGCTTCCAGTGAACTATTTGTTGGAAATGCAAACATTTTAGTCTTCCAGGACTCAAAAGTGCTCATTATTATCATAAGCAATTATAGATGCTGTAGGGACTTTGTAGTCTGAGGAGAAAGTCAGAGAAACCGATTGTGAAGTGACTGTTAATTTTAAGATGTTGTTCCTTTTTCCATAGCTTCTTTACATAAAGGGAATTGAAGCAGGCCATCTCCCCTGTATCACCCATGGCCATGCAGACTCTCTTCTGTTTGTTTATTTGTTGTTGTTTACCATGTTTATAGCTGCTGTACATGAAGGGAATAGAAGCAGGCCATCTCCCCTGTATCACCCATGCAGACTCTCTTCTGTTTGCTGTGTCCACAGCAGTGGTTCTGCATGCCGTAAGTTTTATCAAACTTAATCTTTTTTTTTTGCGAATACCTCTTCATTACTAGTTCATGACACTGAATATACATTTCCAGTGTATGATTACTGTACTACTTTTAAACTTTATGTGTGTCTGTATGATAATCCTTTTTTTTTTTGCATACAGGCAGTGATGGAACCACACAATGTCAAGCCGTCCTATTGGACCTTCTTACAGAGGCTCACCAGACAACGGTTGGTACTTTTCCTCGCTATTAATTTTTATTTCGTAGATTAATATTAGTATTCAGACTGCACTGTATTGTTTTTTGTATTTCTTTTTGTTTCCTAGTGTCCATTGTTATTTGATTGAAGTAGAGTCACTGGAAGTGATCATGGGAAAGTGGTAACCCAGACTGACAAGAAGGTCAAGTTGGAAGTCAAGATGGTCAAAATCTGCAGACTAGGAGGAAGTGACAATGGGATATGCAAAGAATCACCAAGACATAAGCAATAATGAATAAAAAAAGAACTTAACATGTATCAATATTTCATGGAGCTGTGACTATACTTAATCCTTGGTTTTTCTTTTTAGATTTGGAATGATGAACCGAAGAGTCCTGGATGTCTATGGTACTCATGCTTCCAAGCTGATGCCTGACTTCAAACCACAGTTAGATCCAAAGTTCTGCCTCATGAAGCATGAATGATGTTTTCTAGTTCCAGTTCTCATTCCTGTTTTTTTTTACATAAAATACATACATCAACTCTCATAATTCTGTTGGCCACCTTAATTGTAACCCCTATATAGAAAGTATACAATGTTACTGGTTTTTTAGTCCTAACAAATTCTTTTTTTTTTCTAAGCAAAGTTTAAATGGTTTCATCTGCCAGATTTTTTTTTCACGGGGAATTTTTTTTTTATTGCATTTTCAAGGAAGTAGTACAGTTGTAAAGTATGAACATATAAGTGGTGTACAAGACAAAAGACAGTTTACAAACGGTTTCCTAAGTAACAAGATAATTGTGTAATGTCTCCTAAAATCTCATAACAAATTCTTTATATGTCTGAAGTGTGCATTATTGTTGATAACTACTTAGATACTGATTCTCTTCATCTTGTGAATTTTTCTTTCCATCTGGGTCTGCCCTCGGGCCTCAGCCACCTACTGTACTGATCCCCAGGATAATCCCATGTAGACTAGGTCATCTGTCACAGTTCTTCTCCAAGTGGTTTTGGGTCTGCCTCTTTTTTTCTTTTCCAGCAGAGCTCTTAATTATTGCTTTGAGATGCTGCACTATTAGTGGATCTCTTCCAAGTCATCTTATTTGAAGTGGATGGCCGGTTTTAGGGCACCAGACAGAATTATGAGGTCCATCTTTTCTGGTATCTTCAAATTTGTATCTTGATATTTCCTTAGATTGATTGTTTTGGGTGAACAATAGCTACACATATTTTTATCTGAATAGACCACTGAGTAATATCACTTTTTTTTGTGTGACAGTTGTTAGAATGTTGCAATTTTCACAAAATGGCAATTTTTTTCTTATCTCTCAGGTTTGTGGAATATCAAGTCTGGACGAAGTCCAATTATTCAAAACACGTTTGAAGGAAACGTCAGCAAATTAGCATTGTGTTTTGTGTGATTTTGTAGACATGAGTATAATTTAGTCTAATTAAATGGTATAGAGGCGACACACTGAATAAGGACCATTGAATCAGGTTGTTGTCTTTTGAATTTACATGATATGAAGCAAATACTTTTGGCGAAGAATCTGTAGTTTTTGCATTTCAGATTTTAAAAATTCCTGTTAAATACTTTCTTAAGAAAATACTATGTAATGTCACCTATGTTGCGAGGATAAGGGCTGCATTAGCTAAAACTGTTTTGGAATCTGTTTTGTCATTACTTTTCTCGAATGTAAGGTTTATCAGTGGGTGTTATTGACAATATAAAGATTTTATACGATATTTTCCTTACACAAATTAAAGCGCTTACCAACAAGCCTTTGATCGTCTTGAAATTACCCTAAGTCTTTGCCACGTGACCTGAACGGAAGTGTGACGTCATCAACTGTTCAAAGGTAGTCTGTATCGGCCCCCGTCTTTGTTGAGGTTGTCATTGCTTTACTACGGGTGTTTTCTATAAATAGTATAATTACCTCCGTGTACGGAGGTATTGTTCGTCAGAAGGTCGGACACAGGAAACTGGGTCGCAGAAGCTGGCTCAGAGCCAACAGTACAAAATCAAACTTTATTGCACAACAATTTTATCAGATACAATGTATGGCAAGCTCTACAGAGTTACTACAGATGCAAGTTGCCTGTTAGCAGGATGCCAGTTGGGAAATCCATAGCCTGGCATCTATTTTGGACGTAACGCTAATTTAGGTCGGTTTAATTCATTTCGGTAGTCTTTTTCGCGAGGCATGTTTATAACCAGAGCGTGGGTCGATGTATATTGGTGGTAATAAATCTGTTCCTGCAGATCGATTCTTTTCTTTTAGGGAAATTCTGCAGTGCGTTTTACCCTCCTTATAAAGCCCTAGGCATCGCTGTATCAGCATTGGTACTACTATATTCGCGGCGAAATGTATGTTTCAACATTACGCGAACAGAGTTCAGTGGAGTGTACTCGAGTGTGTGCGCTTAAGAGTGAGTCCTAAGGACACCATAGCTCAACGGCGCACGGGCCTGCAAGGGGGATTCCTTTTCGCGTGCAGACACTTGGAAGGAATTTTCAGAGAGGAACACAAGGAGGTGGAGACAAGACGTCTTCAAGTACTGTCATCAGAGGAGTTTCTGGTGAGTGCCGTATTTTTTGGGTGCATTTTTCCTTTGCTTGATGTGGCTTCTCTGGTTTGATAGAATTATCGTTCGATTGTAATATTGACGTTTTATGTTGGAAGCTTCCGCAATCGTCCACATATAGACTAAAGGGGATTAACAGTCGCACCCAGACTGACCTATACGCTACAAATTGGTATACAGAAAAAAGATCGAATTTTACACGTCAAAACACATATTTTAAAACATTAGTTAATACCAATCCAACAAATGCAAGGTTCAGATTTCAATAATACGTCTTTGCCCTTGTTCCCATACATACATAACGGGAGGGTTGCTATCATGATGATACCGGTACTGTACGCGTAGCGGTAATGAATTAAAGAGGAGACAGATTGTCAACGGAAGGAAATTAGCTACAAGGTTACCAATTGATTGCACGGCTATGTCATATATTTAACGCTAATAATTCCAGTGGGGGTTTCGTTACTTCCTAGACTGATTTAGTTTAAGTGTTTACGAAATAACGGGGCATTAGTTAACATGAATGTTCATCTTGTTATATGGGTGTTTATTGACTTCATTTTCACACTAAAATACATGGCAGCGTCATATGCTGTTCCGCACAGACGTTGAATTGCACATTGTAGGCATCTTAACATTATTATTAAACATGCTAACTAATTCAAACATGTACACAATTACATTAAAAGAAAGTAAAGAATACAGAACAGTTCTTAATACTACACGTAGGCTTTAATAATTGATGTAATAATCAATGGGGAGATTTTAACATGCGTATTTATTCAAAAGGTGACTAAAGTATGAAATGGGACTGTTTTTATAGCGGCTGGTTTTAGCCTGTGGGATACAGAGTTGTTGGGCACTTTTTAGTTTTTTTTTCGCGTGAATTTCAGTACGTGAAATTTCAGAACGTGAAATTCAGAATTTCATCTGTGTTTGTGCATAACATTATGAACAGCGGTTAAACTTTATTCCAACACAAAATTGCAGCACACACTTATTTTCACCGATCTCTCGGTCTGCTTTTGAGATAACCGAATTAAGACCCGGTTGCTCAGTTTGTCACTTTACAGATGTGTGACATCTGGTAAAAGATAGTTGGTAGTCTGTACCGTCCCCCGTCTCTTGTACACATCGGGCCAGACAAGGAAATAATCTTGTAATGGTCTTTTGTTCATACAACGATGTTACGTGTTTAGGTAACATGCACACGCTTAAGGGGCTTTTTATGCTAATACCGTAGCAACATCAGCATGACTGTTGGTAAATGAAATGGCTTTGGGCAGCACAGGTACCCCATAAATCACCATATCCTTCAGATTACCAAGTGCACGGCCTTGACTTTGACTGGAAAATGAAACGGGCTAGCGGAAAATGCATTGCATAAAAAGGTGTTTTAAAGGATTTAGGGCGTGGGGTGGAGCATCCGTGAGGTCATACTTGTAATGTCGAGATATTGGAACAGACGACATAGAGTGCATCTCTATTTCTTGAATTGGTAGCAGCAATATAAGTTAAAGATCACCAAAAGACTGTGTTCCTACTAAGATCACAAAACGCACTCATTATGCAGAACGTGGGACTATTCATTATCCACTGCCTTCAAAGAAGAAGTTAAACCTCATAATAGCTAGCGTAGTAGTAGAAGTATAATTATTTTCCAGACAGTGTTTGTCTGTTCCGTATTACTGTATTGTACCGTATAGTATCTTTGACTCTGTAAAAGCAATTAGTCTTCTGGCATGATTTTGCAAATAAAGTAATTTATAATAGATTTCTATATTTAAAAGGGCACGTTCAGGACACCTATACTCATCACATGTAATGTTGAGATGCCGAAACAGACAACATAGAGTGCATCTCTATTTCTTGAATTTGTGGCAGTAATGTAATAGCATTCTAGGCCTAAAATGGCACATTCAGGGCACCTACGCTCTTCACATGCGTGAACCAGCAGTGTTTTTCCTGGTACCGAAGTTGAATGTCAAAGTCAGTATTTGGGAGGTTGTGACAGTCGGGGGCAGGGAGTTAATGGTTGTCATTTGAGCGGGAGCGAGCGCGGAGAAACAATGTCAGAGCCGGGTATAAATCTTCTCTTACGTGTGGAGAAAACGCAATACGGGCTCCGGGAAGTTGGCTATGGTCCATTATGCGCCGACAATTACGTTTAACGTCTGAATAACTGGCCACAGATTGGAAAGCGAGCAATAAAACTTCAGTGAATCCATTGTTGAAAAGTTTTTTTATTGTTGCTGTTGTTATAAAGAGCTTACATTTCTAATATCTAAAGTTTATTGCAAATTCATGCCCAACGGCTAATTACAAGTTCATGGTAACAAAATAAGCTGAAAATTATAAGTAAAGGAAAAAAAGTAATTTTTCCCCGGCTATCGGCTAAAGCAGCTGCATGCCAGAAACATATTTTATGGGAGAGGAGGTGGTAATTATAACCTACATGTATCTTTTCCCCTCTTCCTGTCTATCTGTTTGTCTCTCTTTCTCGAGCTCTCTATCTCTCTCTGAAAAGAGTCCAGTACGCCAAACTCAGAACTTAGCTTTAGCTTTCATGCAAATTCGAGTTCAAAGACATCAACTACCCTAGAGCGGTGGCACATATATCGATTCATGACGAATAGCCAAGATACCTAATGTTTATATTAAAGGTGATATTACAGCATTTCCTGCTGCAGGTCTTTTGCGTTCCGATATCTCTCCCTTACAACGTTTCAGGCCGTTACGTCGGCCGTAAAAAAACACCCTTCAATCGATCTTCTCCCGCTTCTGAAACACGTTATGACGACCATTTCTCTTTGCAGCAACTCTGGAGAGGCCATCGGCGGCAGGAGGAGAGGTGATGCGGCTTGATACGGCCTGTGTCGGCCAAATCTCCCGCGCGCCCGCCCGATAATTACTTACCATCGGTGCCGTTTGAAGACGCCGTGCTGCAGAGGAAGAGCGTCATTTGCCGCAGAGTGATAGTCGAGGCCATCGGGGAACAGTTCTTGGCTGCTGTCTGTC